AAATATGTGCTGAGCTGCTGCTCTGTTGTGGTGCAGTGCTGCTGCTGCTGCTGCTGCACTCCTCCTCCTCCTCCTCCTCATAAACACAAAGTTTACTTATGGTTGGGAAGAAATGTTGGACACACTGCATCTTTTCCTGTTGGAAGCCCCTAAACTAATCAAACTGCAGAGACTAATGGCAGCCGAGGGCCTAATGAGTGTTATTGATAAGAGTCTAATCAATGGAGGTTGAATGCACAGTGGTCTTGTTAGAAATTACCAATAGCAAGTTTACTGTATTTTGGACTTTTTATATGTTTGTTAGTAGTGGCCCCTATAATTCATATAAAAAAGTAGTGGATTTCGCACACGGTCAGCAATGAATTTAAACATATTTACATCCAATAATTAGTTAAATTAGTCACATTTGCAGCTTCAACTTAGATTTTCTTAATTTCATATTTTTGTAAAATTAATATATTTGGATTTTGGACACAACAGGAAGTTTGAAGTCGTCACCTTGGGCTCTGGGAACTTGTGATGGAGAGTTTTCACTAACAGACTTCAATGAAAGCATTACATGAAGAAAAGTGCATTACAACAGAAAGAAGCTTTAATAGCAGAGTGTTTGTGTGTGTCCACCCCCCAGATGTAGCAGTGATCTCCCCTCAGGATCCCGTCCTGCGTATTGGCTCCAGTCTGACAGCCACCTGCATGCTCAGTCCCGAGCTCGGTCTCCACGCCAGCACGTTGTACTGGACGCTGAACGGGATGTGGCTGTCCAGCAGCACCTACAGCGTGGTGAGCCCGGACGTCCTCAGTGTCACCCTTCACAACCTCAACGGCTCCCGGCAGCAGTCTGGAGACAACCTTGTGTGTCATGGAGCAAATGGACACGTCCTGGCTGGTTCGTGTCTCTATGTGGGCAGTAAGTGGAGTCTTTTCTGTTTGTGCAAAAGCATTGTCATTGGTTCTTTTTCCTGCCACCTGTGTTTGAAATGTTCTTTTTTTTAACTAAGCTTTATGATACCATACCATACTGTATATTTCCATCTTCAAAAACTGGTGTTTATGTCCCTAATTTAAACCAAAAGGGTATTAAAATGCCACAAAAGCTTAAGTAATATTCAGAGAAAATGAATATTTTATGAACAAAAACATAGTGAACCTTGTAATTCCAAATTCAGGATGTTAAGAAGCCAGTTGTGACAATTATTTAGAAGATATACATCATCTGAAAACGTGATATAAGATGTTTGTTAAACATAGTCTAAAGCATTCTTTCCTAATTAAACTTCCCGCCCTAATTAGCTATTTTAATATTAATTTAAATAAATACAGACCCAAATAATAACACATGAAAGGAAACTCTCTTGGAAGCATATTTAATGTTGTTATTAATATACACACACACACACGCTTAAATAAAGAAATCTAAAAGGATTATGATGTGTTTGGATGTTTCCCCTCTCAACAGTTATAATACAAATCATTATTAATAAGATAATTGAAGCTTCTTTTGGACAAAATCTGATCTGCTGTTTATGTATTTGGGGAATCTTGATATAAAAAGTTAATGAAACTTCATCAGACTCACAAAAACTATGTTTGTTCTTAACAAATTTTTTTTTAGTTGCACATTAAAGCCTTTTTGATTATAATCAGTCTGTTTTATAACTAATCTGCTTTTTAAAATACACTGGCTTGATGTAGTGAAGAGAAAACTGGCCTTCACTCTCTTAAATTTCAGAATTAGATTAAAGGAAAATAATCTTTTATAGTTTTTATAGTCTTAATAACATTTCATTTGACTTCACCTACTTTTCACTTGATTTCAGTTTCTCTAAACTTTATTTTTTCCTCCAGTGCCTCCAGAGAAACCAGCCAACTTATCGTGCTGGTCCCGCAACACGAAGGACTTGAGCTGCAAGTGGAGCCCGGGGGGGCGGGGTGAGACCCACATCCAAACCAAATACACTCTCAAGTACAAATTGAGGTGAGCGCCCCAGACCTGCTGCAGCTCACAGGTGATCACCTCGTCCGACACCACTCAGGTAGACTAGCAATACATGTCTTAGTGCCGCGTGCAGATTCTACACTCACAGGCTGCAGTGTGTTCTCGTGTGCTAACTACTAACAGTGATCAGTCTGCCTTTTTATTTATTTATATTTTAACAAGCAAACGTCAGAGTTTATTTTTGGTCATTTTGTGTTCGTTCTGTTTCTGTCCAGGTGGTACGGGAGAGAGAAGGAGTGTGAAAATGACAGCACAGCGAAGCAGCGTTACTCCTGCCACATCCCCCGCAACCTCGCCCTCTTCACCCCGTATGAGATCTGGGTCGAGGCAGCCAATCAGCTGGGCTCTGCCACCTCTGACATCACCACCCTGGACATCCTCGACGTAGGTGGGTAAGCGAACGTTTTCAGGATGTCAAGTTTTTGTTTTGACTATTTCTACCTGCCTTGTCCTCATATCCTTCCCTTTCCTGTTATGCCCTTTCCTCCTTTGACATTTGTTTGTCTGCAGATCTCCTGCATATGGCACACACACTTCTCTGGAGGAGAAGGGATTTATTTTTATGGTTCGCTGCCTCCAACTTGCCGCCGTAACAGCATTATAGGTTCAAGCTGCAGCTCTCAAAGATAAACTGTTTTTCTGTAAAAGCTAAGCGTCTCAGGTAATGTCTAGGTACAGGTATTCCTCCAGTGCTAATGTAATAGCGTCGCGTTGTGGCCTCCAGTGTGCGCCACATCTTGAAAGCGGAGTTTATCAGCTGAGCATCCTCTCCCTCCATTCATCCTTGCTGAGGAGCGGACAACTTGGAGCTGTGAGTAGGCTGGGGGAAAGGGAGGAGCGCTGCCATATGTATGATGCATTGCACTGCCTCAACAACAGAAACAATAAGCTTGGAGAGTATCTGTTCTGGCTTTAGGTTGAGCTGAAAAACAGCGTCACACAGCAGAAGTGAAGGATGTATGAAGCAGAAGGTTACCAGCAGTAAACACTTTTACAAGACATTTAATAAGTTCCTTTCTTTGTCTCTCGTGCTGCCATCCCTTTTATCTTTCCCTCCGTCTTTCTCTCCTTCAAAGCACATTATTTGTCTCTCATAAATGTGCCTTAGAATTCTCTTCCTTCTTTTTTTTAGTCTTTGAAACTAGGGCTAGCTTTTTTTTATTGAGATTTTCCAGGAAAACACCTCTTAGAACAATAGGTTAGGAATGTTTCCACATGTCTTGACAGTTTCCACAGCAGATTTTGTGTTTCCACCTTTTAACAGAAAAAAACTCAGTGGGGCTTTTCCTTAACATAATAAATATAATCCTTAGTCATTAATAGTGTCCCACCAATGCACACTATTCCCTGTACAGGGGAATAGTGTGCATTGGTGGGACACTGTTGTTTTGACCATGTGGTGAAACAAACAAAGGTATGTTAATGACCCCTGTTGCTGTACTTTAAAGGGTTACTGGTCAAACTCAAAGCAGCAGTGGCAAAGCATTTGATACTTTTAGCCTCCAGAATGGGTCAAGTTTCAAAAACACTGGATCCTACACTTCCCATAATGCAACTTGATCTTCCATTTGACCCTACCTGACATCATCAGGGTTATATTCTTAGACTTGACAAAGCATCTCCTGAGCCACGGACACTGTATACAAATCTTTTTACAGAGCCCTTTAAGATATAAAATAACAAATATAACAGTTTACCTTCCTTTCTTTATACTCTTCAAAGTGACTGACATTGAATATAATTATCGTCTTTTTCATAGCTGAAATAAAAGGTCTGGGTTGTCATGATAGATTTTACCAACTGAGGGTTTTTCTATTCTGTGCTTTCAGCAAAGAGAGTTCATTTAGAGAGAAGAATAGAATATAATCAAAAAACAAAACAAGAAACAAAGACCAGACACAGCGACAAACCCTTGATAAGACTGGTGAATGTTGACTCACTTTGTTGCACTTTCTTTTCTTCGAAAGAGAAATTAATTTGAACTTTTGTTTTTAACCTCATAAATAAAACCCACTAAATTAAACTTGTATATGAGACAGATGGCAGTTCGCTGGCTCAGCACTGATCATCCTCACCGTGGAGAATGATGAGACACGACACTTGTCTGCCCTCAGTGTTTGAGTATAATATATGTTGCTTTTTCTCTCTAGAGGTCATTCAAACCTCTTCCTTCCTGTATCCTTGCCCTACATACTGTACATCTGCTGTACACAAACTTTTTAACACTTGCCCTTGTCCGTGCAGTGACCACAGACCCTCCTGCCAACGTGCAGGTGAATCGCGTCGGCGACCTCGAGGACCAGCTGACGGTCCGCTGGGCCAGCCCCCCCGAGCTCAAGGACATCCTGTTTCAGGCCAAATATCAGATTCGCTACAGACTGGAGGACAGCACTGAATGGAAGGTGGTTCACACACACACACACACACACACACACACACACACACTCTCTCTCTCTCTCTCACACAAACCTGCAGACTAGCCCACTCACACTTCCTCTGTAGCTATGACGGCTCTGAGGCAGCAGTGGAAATATTTGAGGTGCGGCACCGACAGATCCGATAAATGATGAACATGAAAGTTGCTCCTGCTGCATCTCTAGCCTCTTGTGTGTGTGTGTGTGTGTGTGTGTGTGTGTGTGTGTGTGTGTTTTTGTGTGTGCTTCCATTATAAAGCAAATAATACTCGTAAAAGCCTTGACTGCTGCTAGTGAATCTGTGCTGGTAAATTTTTGGAAAGCTGGCTTTGATATAAAAGTGCTGTAGTGGAGTTTTTTAGAAACTGACATTCTTTCAAACTGCTTCTTTGATGTTTTCTGCCGACAGCCTCTTCATATTCTTCTCTCTGCTGTGTAGGTTCATACAGTCTGACTTTGAATTCTGGATTCATTATTGAATGAGAGGATTAAGCAAATAATGTTTAAATATATTTGAAGCTAGACTACATTCGAAATAAAAGCAGAAAAAAGTTCAAAGTAAAAACAGCGAGAAAAGATGCAGAAATCACTTCTGTTTAGTTTTAGGAGTTTTTTTTATTACATCCTCTGTCATTTTGTTCCCTCTCACAGGCAGAGGTACAAATACTTTATTGTACTTTCAGGTATCTGTACTTTATTCAAGTATTTATTTTTCTGACTTTTTACTGTTACCCCCTAAATTTTTACACAAATATCTCTACTATCTACTCTACAAAACAGCCATGTTACTTTAGTTTTAATGCATTTGAGGCAATTATTAGTCATTATTTGTACTTTGTACTTCTACTTGGAAGTAAAGAATGTGTACTTTTGCCACCTGTGCTCGCAGGTGGTGGATGATGTTGGTAACCAGACGTCATGCCGGCTGGCAGGCCTCCGACCCGGGACCGTCTATTTTGTCCAGGTGAGGTGCAATCCAGTGGGCATCTATGGCTCCAGGAAGGCCGGCATCTGGAGTGACTGGAGCCACCCGGCCGCTGCCTCCACACCCAGCAGTGGTGAGTACATTGCACCAAAAAAAAGATGCAACTCTAAATGGATGCAGAGCAAATAATTACAGAAATATTAAGTATACTATAAGACTGGATTAACTAAATGGTGCCTATGAACATTTAGTACAAAATCCCCCAAATATACAACTGAAGCCTTTCTTTCCTCGTCTGTCTCTTGTCTTAAATGGCTTTTTAAATGCTTCCCAAACATCTGTGATGCCCACAAATCTTGACCATTCGTTCCTTTTCTAATAATCAAGCTTTCATCGCCAATTAAAGCCAGAAAAACAATGTTGTTATCCCTGTTTCAACATCCTGAACAAGCAGATCCAAACCGCATGTGACCCAGGAGAAACCAAACATCAATAGGCTAGATACCTTGATAGAGATCTCCCAGCAGTGGATTAGAAGGAACTGCAAAGAGCCAGGGGGACATTTGATAGATTTTAGTCGTTGGCTTCAAAGATTGATCAAGTTAAAAAGCTGGTTGTCTGTCCGCGGCACACACAGGGCCTATAAAGCTTGAGTGGAAGCAGGTTTGGGAGCAGGAGGAGGAGATAATGAGTTACACTGGTCATGTGGTATTTACTCCGCACAGGGAGGAAGTCGTTATCAGGCTCTGTTGTTTGCCATGAAGAATTGATTGTAGCAGACTTAAGACTTTCAGTAGCATTAAGCCTCCACATTAAAAGAAACATTTCTCATTATATGAAACTGTTTACATCCCATTTTGCAAAATTAAGCATCAAAAACGATCCCTGAGAGAGGTGAGAGATGTGCTAAATGTTACTGTAATAATTTTGTTTTTAATAATACAACGATTTTTATTGGACTAATAAAAGAAAGTAATGTCATGTTGAGCAGTTATAAAGTCAACCATGTTCACCACCTTAGTTTAGCCTGTTAGCATGCCAGCATTTGCTTATTTACAAATATGAATTTGGCACTAGTTGAGTCAGGATCACCAAGGTTGTTACTGTTTATCCTTTGGGGAACATGAATGTGGGTCCAAACTTTCATGGCAACACATCCAGTAGTTGTAAAGTGGTGGACTAGCTGCCATCCCTCGAGCCAGGCTGTTAGCATGGATAAAAACAATTCCCTTTGTTTCACAATGTTAATCCACTCAGTATCAGTACTGCCTTCCAGAGCAGTCTGGGTACATTAAAAAACAACAAGATGGCAATTAAAACATATCAAATAAACAGTCAAGCGGAAAATGTTCTTTACTTGTGTGAATGTGTGTGTTTTATTGTATTTTTTAAAAACCTTTTATGGGTTTTGAGTTTGTTTTTCATTTTATTTTTGGTGAAAATGTCGACCGCATGAATTCAGTCAGAAAAAGTGCCAAAATAATGTCAGTCACATCTATGCTGACACATTACATAGTGCTCATCTCTACACCACCTTGTACCAACACTTGTCCTAACTATAACCTTGATGCTGTTCTCTCACCCTCCCTCCTCTCTCTTACCTCCTCCTTTCTTCACTCACTCTCTCTCCTTTGTCTCTCCCCTCCTTCTCCTCCTCCTGCTCTCCCCCCCAGAGCGGCTGCAGAGCGGCGTGTGTGATCCAAAGCCTGGCGAGCAGAACTCCACCCTGCGGCGGGAACTCAAGCAGTTCTTCGGCTGGGTCCGCAAGCATGCGTACGGCTGTAGCGGCATGTCAATCAAACTGTACGACCAGTGGAGGGTGTGGCTGCAGAAAACGCACAAAACGCGCAACCAGGTAGGTAAGCAGAATATCTCTCTCTCCCCTCCCTATCTCTCTCCTCTCCCTTCATTATCTTGCTGCTCTCCCAAACACAAACAGCCACTGCTGCATTGAAGTCCTGAGCTGAATTTCTGACCCTGCCTTTGTTGTGCCATGTGGTCAGCATTTTTCACAAACACAAAGAGGACTGATTTCTCTTGAACTGGCTCTGTGAAGTTTCAGTTGCAGTGCTTTATGATCAGGTAAAATGTGTGGTTTTGACTTTACTGGCCCAGAAGAGGGAGCATAAAAGTAGATATGCACTCTGATTTTATTACATATTTTAACGATGTAGACTTATGATCTTCAGCTGACGACCACAACAAACAGAAACGAACATGTAAATGTAATTATCAGCCCGCTGTAATGTTTTCCTTTTGTGCTTTTTGTTTTGTGTTGGCGTGAGGAGCCCCTTTCACAAAAATAACTCAGGCCAAATGGCATGCAGAGCCCCGGCATCGTCTGGGTGTTTATGTGACTTTGTGAGGAGTTCAGATCCTTTTCGGGCCACATCCTGTACTGCTCAGTCCTCGAACTCACTGAAACCTTCACTCCACCTGACTCAATTAGCTCAGCAGTCTCTGGGTTTTTGTGCTTTATAGGGCACACGCTGTCTTCTGAATAATGTCTTTGTTCACAAACCGTGACAGGTTCCCATTGATTACCTTGAGAGAGAGAGAGGTAGCAGGGGGCTGGGGCACGATACACAGAGAATAAGAAAGAGATGATACAAAAAAAGAAGGAGAAGAGAGGACGAGAGAGAAGTGGCAGCCAGACTGAGCAATTATCGTGATGATTGTAAATTACATGGTCTCTCCCGTTGAATTACCCCAGTATGAACCATCTGCTTTTGTCTTTTCAGATTCTACAAGACGATAATTCATAGCACCTCTGCTCGGCACCACTGTGGTGTTTAATTCAAGAAACACTGACAGATAACTGGCCCCGAGGGTCCCAGCTGTGTGTGAGAGGCCCAACGCCCTCAGCCTGAGGGATACTGCAGTGTTTGGTCATACTGCCTTAACTTGAGTTTAAAGGGCCCAGGTGGAAGATAAGTGAAGTAAGACAATGCAGCCTTTTTCTGCCATTTCCGCTAGTCAACTGTCTGTTAGATCTGTTTGCACAAACACAAGTATGTGGCTTCTCAGTAACTGCACTTTTATTCTGAAAACCCCCCCCCAAAAAAACATTATCTTAACAGTTTAGACTTTTTAATAACTTTAAGTAAGGTAAGCAAGTCTTTAATGCTACTTTGACGTTAAATGGTGCTACATTACTGAAGCCTCAAGCAAAAAACAAGAACAGAATATCAGCGTCAGTGACATGAGGGAACAAAATGTACAAAACAACCCTTAAACTACTGTTCCAGGTCAAGAAACAAACAAGTATTTTTTGTAAAGCTGCGGTGTCTGAATATGTGAGTTACACTGTTGTGACCTTTAGGATTATTATGGCCTTAAGGATAGTATATGAATATCACTACATATGTTACTGTTCACGGTGCGGCTGCTATTAACGTTTATTTTCATTATCTGACTAATCTGCTGATTAGTTTCTTGATTAATCGTTTTGTCTATAAAATAAAATACCAGTGACCGTTTGCTAAAGGTGACATCTGCAAATGTTTTGATTTGTATTTTATGTTTTATAATACTATAAATCAGAGAAAAGCAAAATAAACTGGAACCAATGCGTGTTTGCGATTTTGTAATAAAAACTGAGTTCTCGCTCAGTGATTAATAAATTATCTGTCTTTAGTAATCAGCCATCAAGTGCCAGATAAACTGCAGAGTGTTGGTTGTATCAGTAATTGAATGATGATGAAATAAGGCCTCACTGTGTAAAATGTATATACTGTCCTGTGTCTTAGTATTTAAAGACATTTTAATACATGTTTATATTTTTTATAACCATATTTAAAGAATGTTTTTTTGTCTAAGTTATATTCTTTTACTGCATCAATAATGTATCTGACAAATCCTGTGTAAAATGTACAGAACAGTAAAGAGTAAAACTTGTCTTGGAAAGTGTTTTATTTAAAAATACAATTCATCAAGTAAACAAAGACAGCTGGATGAGCCTCCAAGAATTATTAAACCTTTTGAGTATTTACACATTTCATCACAAAATAAACAGAAGTTTTTGTTTCTTTCTGATGCGTACATTAACAGAACCACGTGACTACAGATAGAAACACAGAGCCAGAATGTGAAACCCCCCCTGGGTGGAATAAGACTGCAGCAGCCAGCAGGGTGGGGCCAGAGGGGGATCGATAAGTGCAGCTGAGGAGTCCAAGATGTAAGTTGCAGCAGAGCCGAGTCGATCTCCCGGCTCCGCTGTCTGGTGATGCGAGAGGGGCGACTGCAGGCCTCCTGGGAGCCACCTGTCAATCACTCTCCTCAGAGTCATACTTAAAGTCCTGCATGATCTCACTCAGAGCCTCTTTGTTCTTGATGATCCTGGACAAGGAATGAGCCCAGAAAACAGACTGTTACAAACATTTGTTAATATGTTTTGACAGTTTCATGATATAAGAGTGGAAACAAAGGACAGTCTGAAGATCTGCAGCCAACAGCAGGTTGATAGTCAGTGAGTAAATGGGTCAGCAGGGAGCTAACGCAGTAAACGGAGGGGTGGTAATAGCTGCTCTTACTCGTGCTTGATCTCCTGAATCTTTTCTTGACAGCCTTCGTCCTCCGGGTGATCCTGGGCCCGCTGCCTGGCCAGCTGCAGCTTGGCTGTCTGTTGAGAAGGCACATCAGATAAGATTTATGCAAACCATTCATTAGTGGAGGATGGAGAGGAGACAGAGTATGAACTCTAAGATAATAGGGGCTTTATGACATTACTGGCAGAGAGGAAGTTAAGTTAATATGACAAAAGGAGCGTAAAACTTCATAGAGAAGTGCTGCACATCACCTCTGAACACCAGATGTGTTACATGTGGGCTGTATAAGAATGTGGGAAGCACCGAAGCGTTACCATTTTAAAACCAATTTCACTCAAACTGTCTGTCCAACCAGCGTCACAGACAGACTGCAGCTTTCATGTCAACGGAAACAGAACCACTTTAAAAACACTGAATAATTGTAACTGAAGAGGAATTAGTGTTTGCTGTCCAGTCAGCACAAAAAGCTCCAAATAATCCCATCAGGAGCATTGTGCAATAAGTGGTGCTTCCCTAAAACATTTATGTCATTTCTGACAGTGATAAAACCGGTACTTGCACAATAACTCTGCCTCCTTGTGGTGAAACAGTGGAACTGTATCAAACAGACCAAAAGTAACTATTTTAACAGAGACTCTTGTAAAAGGCCATAAAGCAATCCTGATATATAATATCCTAATGAAAGAATATAAAGAATTTACAAACAGAGAAAATACTAATTAATTAATTAATCCTCCAATACATATCAAAACAGCATTTACATAGAGATTACATATACAGATTGTTGTTGTGAATTTAGCTATTTCACTTGTTTGGATTTGACTGTTTTCTTCAGTTATTTATGAATATGTTTAATTCAGTCTATTTATGGATTGATTTATTCAGTTTGTCTGTATTATTTCTTCTTTCCAGTATCCAATTAAAATATCTGTTAATTACCTCACAACCATTTGCAAGAGTCTTTACTTTATCTGTACAAAGACGTTTGTGTGTATTCATCCACACCTTCACCTTCTATATGCAGGACAACCAGTGTACAGTGTTAAAAATAAAGGTCCCCCATCCCACAACAATGCCAGTGTAGTGTTAAATAAAAGCATATATATATACACGCATTATTACATATATGTCCTTGTATTGCACACTGTTGTAGCACACAGTGAGTGTTCACCTACCAGTTCAAGTTTCTGCTTCTCTTTGCTCTGCAGCTTTTCAATGTGCTCAGAAAGGTCTGGCCTGTCAAACTCGTGGTGCAGCCTCCCCTTGATCTCCAGCACTTCCTTGGAGATGCCGCAGAAGGCTTGCGTTATCTCATGGACCAGCTGCCTGTAGTGGTCGAAGTCATAATGCGGCCCTGTCCTCAAGTAGGCCTCGTGTCCTCTGGAGGCAGTGGCAGCCAAAACAAGACCAAGAAAAACACAGACAGAAACCAATGATGTAATGTATAATTAAGACTTCTATGTTCATGTGTCTGAAATGAAGAACAGTGATCACTGGAGGAAATGTGGTTGTTAAAGTATGTGTGTATAGTTACAGGCAGTAACAACAACAGTGTGGTACATACTCGTCAAACAGCTGATACGTCTCCACCCGCTCGGACTGAAGGTGATAAAACCTCTGGATCAGGGTTTTAAAGTCTGAAGGGACCTAAAGGGAGAAAATTAGAGAAATTTAACACATAACATTGAATAGATATTGCAATTTTAAGATCCTTTTTGCATCACAATGTTCATTTTCACTGAGACACAGTTTTTCTTGCATCTGTAGAGCTTTATAAGACCAGGGCGTCTCTGCAGCACTTCATTATAATGCTGTCCATATTGCGACTTTGACTTGAATTTGATTAATTGTGCAGCCCTATCTAGAGGGGAGGATTTATTATAGTGCTGAGGGAATTAACAGATTAACATAATTAATCCTTCCAAGTTGGTTAACTATTATTATTAATGCCATCGTTACTGAAACCAAAAGATATACTATGAAAAATATAGTTAATATAAATACAGTTAAAGCTTTTGCAAATATTTGTGTCCATAGCATTATAAATGAATTATGTTCTGGCCTTTAAACAGACGAAGTAAGCAGATAACTTGTGATTTTTGACACAAATGAGCTAAATGATAAATTGATGAATCTAAACAAAATACTAGATTATTGATCGAATACAGTTACATTGAGCGTGATGACTAGGCAGTAATTAGTGTTTATCAAAATAAAATAAAGGCTTTCTTCATGGCTCATCCACTTTAGCTACAATAGTTACAAGAACAAGCACTGACTGACAATAATGCTACAACTTCAGCTACACTAGTTACCAGTAGCTTAGCTTAGCTTAGCACATGTGGAAGAATTAGCTTTGAGTCTCTCAGATATTTAATAGTATAATAAAATGTCAGATACTCACCATGGTAACCTGCATAAAGTCCTCTCGTTGAGTTCCCACAGTTTATAACACTGACATGTTTTATATTTTATAAACTCGTTGTTGTTTCTCTGCTGTGAATCAGCAGCCCCACTGCTCTCACGCACGGAAGTGACGACGCTGCGCAGCGTATGCCGAGGGTTTTCAAAATAAAAGGGCGCATACGACAGCGGACAGGTTCACTGGTTTAAACATTGTTACTCTTTGTTAAAACCTTTTGTTTATTGTATTTGGGATGACATCTCCCTGTGTGTCGATGCTTCCTACAGCTGTGACCATTAACCCACACAGGTTACTACTGTGTTCACAGTGTGTATAAAGAGTCTTGAGTCTTTGTTTATAGATCCAAAGCAAAACTGTTTTAGTTATATATTATATTATTTATTAATTCATACATTTGAAAGTGAAGTGAAATGACACTGGTTTATCTGGTATTTCAATAAAGCGTGATAATCTGGGGTGGGGGAGCTAAAAGTTAAAAGACAGGTGCTGTAATTATGTCTGCTATAGGTCATCAGTGTATCTAATGACAGGAAGGAGATCAACACAGAGATTCAAAGTTGATTTTTCACTTTGGAAACAGCAGTTGATAAAACAATCTCACCACAAGGTCCACTTGGTAGCTTTCTTTTTTCAATCTCATGTTTTAAACCAGCAAAGAGGAGAAGTCTGTAAGTAAAATGCTGAGAAAATAAAATAAATAAATCTGAGCACCTAATTTTCAGTAATACCTGGGCAAACTCTACCAGCTGTTAAAAAGATAATGCACTTTAACAGCTAGTAGCTGAATGTAGGCTCCCTTGTGAGTGTTTTGGAAATACTGTAACGGCTTTATTTTGAAAAACGCCTCTGGCAGCTGACTGCCACAAACCAATCAAGTGTTTTTATACTTAAAAACACACCATCTCTTTCAATTTAATTTCAGAGGATGCATTATTAAAATAAATTGTGAAGTTTAATAAGCGCATTATCTGGGCTAAATAGTTCCAAAAACCACACTTAAGCTGTATAAAGACTACCTGTTGCTTCTGCAGCCCCATTAATAAGAATTACAGCCCATCCACTGGAGGCTTATCTGGGCCTTGTGCGCTTTGTGTTTATGCGATTAGAAAGCATTACTCCAATATGGAGGAGAGAGGTCGTAAAGCTACTACTGTGCAGACGCGGGCACTCCTACGCCTTCAGTCTCCCTCCGCCGCTCATTGGTCCATTCAGCATCTTCAGCACCACGCAGGCTGAACAGCGACACACAGCCATGCAGCTTTCATCAAATGAGGATGCCGAGCGGCGACCGCTGCGCTACACGGTTCCTGTGACTCTGTTTATCTGATATTATTATTACCCTTAATGCCATTGTTTCACCAGTGTGTGACAGACCTTGCCTGCCGGGTTATTTGCATTGTCTCCCTCCGTGTGGTCGGGAACAACCCGCCTTTATCGTCTCACTCTGCGAGAGGAAGCTGATTTTTTTTCTTCTTCTTTTTTTTTCTCTTCCTCATCACAGATGCTCGGACTCCCAGGTTTTTGTTTGTTTCACCGGGTTTCCCTTCCGTCGAGTCGACAGGCATGACGGAGAGCAACGTCGCCGCTCAGGTTATAGGCAGCAGCGTCTCATGTACAGTGCCGCATCAACAAGCCTCGCCGCCCGACCACCGGGTCCCCCTGCCGGCGCCCCGGTGCCCGCCGGTCCCCCGACGCCTCGTGTGACATGACAGCTCGGGGAAGGAAGAAGAGGATCAGAGGTTACGGGCAGGGGTTTCACAAACAGGAGCGCAGGCGGGTCCGGTCCTTGAGGAGAGGGCACACAGTCACAGACGGTGTGCACTGTTTGAGTGGAGTGGGATACAACCATACCGTATCAAAAATTCATGTGATACTTTATTAATCCCTGCAGGGTGTTTCTCTTGTGGCTTGCAGCCTCCAGAGGGGTCAGAGCACGGGGTTAGCCTCAGAGCAGCGCCCCTGGAGCGGGTTGATGTGCCCGTACATCAGCAGGGCGGGCGCCTGCTGACACACACACACACACACACACACACACACACACACACACACACACACACACACACACACGGGTAGGGGGATAGAGCTCGCTGGACCCAACTGTCCCTCACTGAAGCCTTATTGTGATTCTGATCTGGGCCTACAGCGTGGTAGCACCCACCTTTGCCTTACAGTTTCATCTGATGCACGGCCTCACGGTGTGGGTACTGGTCGAGTCCCGATCAGCAGTGCTGCTCCCCAGGCCTGTCAGGCTCTCTTGGCTGCTCCTGACCATCACCTTTACCTGCACAGCCATGGGTTGCATCCAGAGCATAGCCTGTAACAAGTCACGCATCAAACGAGAGAACATCGTGGTGTACGACCTGTCCGCTACCATAGACCACTGCCCGACTGTCATTGAGGAGAACTCGCCCATAGTGCTGAGGTACAAGACGCCCTACTTCAAAGCCTCGGCGCGGATTGTGATGCCCCCTATTCCGCGCAACGAGACATGGGTGGTGGGCTGGATCCAGGCGTGCACCCAGATGGAATTTTACAACACCTATGGAGACGTCGGCATGTGAGTTCACACCTCTGTCACCTGCGTCCCCATTACACCCCCCTTGACGTGCTTTCAGATGCAAAAAAACAAACAAAAACAAAACAAAACAAAAACAAAAACGCGCGCTGTGTCCTGCGCGAGGGTTTGCATGCATGCTCGTACACTCGGTGTAACGATGTGTTCGCGCTTTGTGCATCACACTGAGTTGCATAGAGGAGCATTTGTGCACGCAGCAGGTTAACTGTGCTCGTCAGCCTCCTTCATTCAGACGCCCACCGACAGATTCTGTTCCTGTGACTTTGGCACCTAAATAGAAAAGCTGCTATTAAAGGAGCTAAACAACAGTTGATGCTCTCACACTCAAATTGTGCCCACGGAGACATGTCCTCCCCCACACCCCCACGACACACACACACACACACACACACACACACACACACACACACACACACACACACACACACATATATATTTTATCTGGAGGGCATATGTGTGGGGGTGTTTAATCCTGCTGGGTATATGGAGTGGGTGGGTGTAAGGGGTGAGAGGATAGGGCTTAGGGGTGGCTGTTCATCAGATTGGTCATGAAAGCACAACAAATAGATGGAAGGGGGCCACCAGCTGACAAACTTTGGCAAACAAAGAGATGATGATAATCCACTGACACACTTAAGCACTACATATCATTTACAGGCAGCTGCTGTAGTTTCATTGCAAGTCTGTGTCTAGATACCAACTTTAAAGTCTCTGTGAAATGAGCTCCTGTTCTTGCCCTTGTAAACAAAAAAATAGAACTTTTCAATTGTCAGACACACAAGTATGCCAACAATGACTTAAAAGAGTTACTTTAACACTAACATTTAAAATAGTGGAATAATTTGACAGGCGGCTCATTTGTTACAGTGTTCATTGCTGTGAAAGTAAGTTTGACTTCATCAATTTATCTGTTCATTATTTTTTTTTTATCATTTAATCGATGTCAGAAATTGGTGAACAATGACTTTTAAAAGTGTCCAAGAGATGATTTTTTAAAATTGTTGGATTTGACCAAAAAAATAAATAAAAACTGTCCCAAACCCAAAAAACTAAAACATTTACAGTGAGATGCAGAGAGAAGAAGCAAATCCTCATGTTTGAGAAGCTGCAACCTCAGAACATTTGGCTATTTTAACCTGATAAATGACCTCATTGATTAATAATATAATTTAATGAATTAACAAATTAGTCACAATTTCCTGTTGACTAATCAATGCAGCATGCGAAAGGATTTTTTAAAACCAATTATTTTGAGTTATTATCAGCTGAGAAACTTCTATTGCCCATGAGTCCAACTCTTGTGTAATGTATGAGAATGTACCTTCAGTTTATATTGGTAAAAAAAAAAGAGACTGATTGGGCTTTTAAAAGGAAACTTAGCAGAAAGGGTATGTTTTTTATGATGCCCTATCATCCTTAATTGCTTGACCCTTTGGAAATCAATAAATAAACTCTTGAAAATACTCTTGGAACAAAAGAACCAACATTACATCAGTTGAATATCCGGTAGTTTAAATTCTCGATTCACAGACAATATTTATTCGTAGGAGCAATTCGTTGCTTGTTTTTGATAATTTCATGAGATTTGTTGATAGAATTAAAAAGACAGAATATCATTGGACGTATCTTTTTAAATAAATGACATACAATTACCCAGAATTCTCTTGGTTTCTCATACTGTCTGTCTCCTCTAAGGTCAAGCTGGGAGCTGCCTCAGCTACGAGAAGGTCTGGTGAGGGCCATTAGCGACTCAGACGGTGTGAGCTACCCCTGGTATGGAAACACAACAGAGACTGTCACCATAGTGGGCCCCACCTCCAAGCCATCCCGCTTCATTGTTAGCATGAATGACAATTTTTACCCCAGCGTCACCTGGGCTGTGCCGGTCAGTGAATCCAACACCCCCTTACTCACTAACATTAAAAGGGACCAGAGCTTCACCACCTGGCTGGTGGCGCTCAACACCATGTCCAGGGAAAAGATCCTGCTCCACACCATCAAGTGGAGGATGAGGGTCGACATCGTGGTGGATCCGTCCCTGCCTCTGGGCTCCAGGGCCCGACTGGTGGGCCGGGTGCACCAGGACCAGCCGCGGGTGCTGACCCGCATGGAGCCCATTCCTCCTAATGCCATGGGGAGGCCCAATGCCAACGACGCCCAGGTTCTGATGTGGAGGCCCAGGAGAGGGCCTCCGCTCGTCGTCATACCTCCCAAATAGTGCGTTGAGAGTATCTGATTGGCCGTTTGTTACATCATATCAGAGCGGGCCACTTCTGCAGTGAGACGGCTAAAAAGATTATCACATGAAAACAAAATTAAGAGGCAGGCTGAGACTTGACTGTCAATGGCACAAATCAGAATTGCAGTCTTTTTGCGTGTAAAATCTCGAGGGGACAACTGCCTTAATTCCCCACCGCTGCCTTTGACGATCCAGAAAGTATGTTGGTTTCTACTTCTGGTGCTGTTGAGCTGTTGGGTGTCCAGGCCTTCACGCCAGCCCAGCACAACTGAGCAACGCTAACTCTGAAAATCCGCCATTAGTGCTGGGATTTAACGCAAACCTGTACTGTAGCTACTCAGGCCCAGAAAGAAATGATCAAGCCTAAATACAGACCCTGTTTAAAAAGGTTCTTCAGCCTTAATGATGACATAATACTGGCCTGCTCTGTACTGTACAGTAAAGTGCTGTGTAAGAGTGTAACCGAGGAAAGGTGTTAGTGTTTATGTGTCATGCAGGTCCAAGGGAGGACACACTGCTGCGGGGTTTATTCATTACGGACAGAGATAACTATGATATCAGCTGAAATGTTACTGGATGATGTGCTTTTAGAGATGAAGTGAGTGTGGGTGTGCAGGCATGTGTGTATGTGTCTGTGGTTGTGTGTTTTCTATAATGGAGCCCCAGGGTTGGGTCCGGGTTTGCTGCTTTGTCACACCAGACTGCCTCTCTCTCTCTCTCTCTCTCTCTCTCTCTCTCTCTCTCTCTCACACACACACACACACACACACACACACACACACACACACACACACACACACACACACACACACACACACACACACACCAGGGTCCTCATTTGTCATGTGATTTTGTTACAGAGAGGGTAATTTTTCAATATGATCTAAAAACAGGAAGATTGTCAACATACATGCATCCTCAGAGGTACTTTGAGTTTTACATATCACATATCACAGCTTGGATTTGGTGATATCAGAATCGTAAATGAAGCCCTGCAGCAGGATTTTTTTCTTTTTTTCAAACACAAATGGCCAGTTCATCCAAGCTGCAGAGCTTCTCGCTCCCTGCCTTTTCAAAGCCAGTGATGCCTGTGTTGATCATAGCCTTCTACAGTAAAAATATGATTCTGTCTTTCCCATGTCCCATCTAATCAGTGAGGTGACGAAACAAGGTTACTATATTTTATAAGTCATAAAATGAGTTTAGTTTGTCCTCTACAAAAGGAGCTACAATGCGTCTTTATCCAGTCAGTTGTATGTTGTTTAAAAACAAAGATTGTAGTGGAAGAGAACTGTATTTATCTTAGAAGGCTTAAAGAACAGGTTCACCTGAATTACAAAAAACATTGCACTTACCTCGAGCAGTATCAAGACATGCAGATTTGGGTGTTGTTTTGAAATATCTGTCAGTGAGAGTGGTAATGTTTACCATATTCATCATCTTAGTTTAGTATGTTAGCATGCAAATAAGAATTTTAGATTTGGACTTCACAGTGACGCTAGAGGAAAAATTAGTCACTCACCATAGTGATTACAATGAATCCTGTGGATATATGCACCAAATTTCATGACTGCTCACTCAGCAGCCGTCAAGATATTTGACTGAAAAACAAAAAAGGAAAAGACGAGGAATTACCAAAGTAATTAGGAATATATTGTCTAGGAACCATGAATATCGATAAAGATTTATTTCGCAATCCATCCAACTGTATATTTCAGTTGAGACCTGGAACAGACCCCTATTTGTTTGTTACAAGTAAAATTCCCTTCACCTCCTCTATTGGTGGAGGCATCAATCTGAAAACCTGCAGAAATAAAACTGAAACTATCTACATGTCCAGATACTGACAGAAGTAAGAAAACGTGTTGTTTGGGTGAACTGACTCTTTAAAGATTGGTGCAGTATTTGGTTTTTACATACAGTCTCTTGTGCCATGATAATATTTTATAAAATGTGTTTTTATCAAGATTCATAACTAAAAAAAAAGGACAACCAGAGCGCAGCCTACAGAATATGAACATTTCCCTATCACGTTGAATCTGATAATGTTGCTTATTGTTTTTCCAGGCAGGTCTATATGCTGTATTTCTGTCTGTGCGCACTCAGCAGGCCAGTGAAACAGGTCATGCTGAAGTGCTGAGCTGGTCCAGATGAGACAGAGATGAAGAGAGACGGAGCATGTAACCACGTTATCTTACCCATGCTGCTCATTACTCCTGGTGCAAACCGAACGAGCCTTCACACACACACTTACACACCTCATCTAGAACGACACTAAAGCCGTGATCACCGGAAGGAGCCAGTGTATTGCATGCCCTGCAACACACTCATCATACAGAGGGCACGGATACTGGCTATCTTAACAACATGCCTATTGTAGCCATGACACAGGAGCAGTTTGTGATGCAAACGGCATCCGAGAGCCCACGCTGACAATCAAGGGAAACATCTAGAGCAGCACTTTTAACTGGAAAATTGAACTAGGTGATCTTTATTGGTCTGCAATTTTATTCAGAGCATTGAGGCTTTTATAGGGTGAAACAAAGCGTAAACTTTTTTCACAGTGCCCCGATTAAAATAAAGTGTTAGCTGGAAAAAATATATACTTTATACTTGACCAGGAGGTCACAGTCTTCTGTCTGTGTGTATCAGGGCCTCAAGTGTCTTTTACAGTAACAGATGTGCCTGAGGACTCGAGGGTAGAGCGGTACATGGCCCTTCATGAGGAGCTTGACTCGTTAATTCCTACTTGTTCTGCTGATTGACTGGAGTCTGATGCAGTTACTGGTTTAAAACGACTGGGTAATAATGTTTTACAGTGTTATAATATGAAGGACATGAACGTTTGGGGTGTTACAGTCCTTTCTCTCAGACTGTCTGGCTTTTGCATGCAGTGTTTTTAAACTCATTAAAACAAATGCCAAAAATATCAAAGTGTGAATTTATTCATGGTATGTAGTTTGCAGCTCTGAGGCGACGTTCCAAGTATTAAATTAGATAAGGTAGACTTGTAATTGTGCAAAAAATGATCTAGAATTACACACCAAGAGGGACATTTTTGAAAAGGCTGCTAAGATGGCTTTGTGATGGAGTGTAAAGAATATTGTGCGGCTGCAGCACATTGCGTACATTGTTGTAGGTCTTTTAAGCAAAAGTCCACATGCCTTTTGATTGGATTTTGTTGAAGTTCAATATATAAATGTGTGCGTTTTAGTGTGAATAAACATCTGGGAGGAGATACACAATGAATTCAACACAATAACATGTTCAGAAAAGTTAAAGGAAACATTTTTCTTTTATAAAAGATTCACATATTGGCAATTAAAATAATAAAGTTATTAATCATACCCGCTTTATCCCAAAAAAAAGAAGAAAAACACCAGTAAAATCATACAATCCAAGGTTACTTTCTGTGTAAATGATGCCTCACAGATGTCTGACGTAATGATTATTAACAACTCAGTAAGTTCAGACTTGCCTGGGCCACATTCAGTAATGTTTGATTACTTTGCCACAAAATCAACAGAATATATTGTTACATAAGCACAGGACATAAAGAGCTCAATGTTTATAATCAGTGGCTTCGAGAAGTCACGTAAACGCCTAATTAATAAATGAATAAATTAAACAGACAATTCATTTTGATTCATAGATTACAGTTTAAATGGTGATACTATTTACACCCATGGATAACATAATTTCAAGTTGTACAGAAATAATCTTTACCACATAATCAAACAGTCCTTTTCACTTCAAATAATAACCCCTGTTACAGCCCAGAACAGCATTTCTGAAGTGTCAGATTTGTTTATTCCTGTAGCATATTACTCGTAGACCCAGATTATTGTCAAACATCAAACTCCACCACACAGAGTCATACAGTAACACAGTTCTGTCGCTGAGACGCGCTGTATACGTTATCAAAGACGCCCCGGCGACTATATGTTGCCTGGCAACAAAAACATGTTTCCAAAAATAGCCGGACAAAATGCAACATGAGAGCCACAATTAAGGAAACAATACTAGTTATGGTCACTTCAACTACCATGGGCTAAAGGCTCTTAGTGTATTGCATTGTTGAGCCTTTTGCCCCGAGTTGTGCCTCCCAGGCAGACAGGCCTCTTACACTGTGTACAAATCCCACCTTCGCTGCAGGACTGAACCCCAACCAACCCTGGCCCCAAGGCTAACCTTGACTGTTGACTGTTAGTTTGTGGCATTGTACACAGCTTTAGAGTAAACAGCGGCTGGGAGGGCTCATTTAAAAAATGTGCTTTCAGAACTCAAAGTGGAACAAGAATGAGTCTTAAATACTTCAACTCTGAGGAGAAAAAGCTTGTTGCATTACATCTAAAAAAATGTGTCTGCCTCTTTAATCGTTTACTGTATATGTGTGATTGATGTGGCAGTAACAGTGACTATAAGTCAAACAGGTTCTTATTGAACACAATCAGTCGGTCCTGTCGAGAATATCCCTCCAGATGTGGAGGTGTGGCAGCCAGGATTATCTCTACAGCGGTAATTATAAAAAAAATTAAAACATACAATCCTGTTTTACCGCAGTCTTCTTTTCTCACTGGTTGCCCTTCTCAGCTGAGGCACTTTTGGTGTGTGAGACCCATTGCAGCGTTGTGCTTGCTTGTTGTTACATACCTTACCTCCTCTCTTCCTTTTCCTCTGCTCTGTCGCTTCCTTTTTTGTCATCACAATATATGATAAAAACCTTTCCCCTTCTTTTCCTCTAGCTCTCTGTCCTCCGTTCCCCTCCAGGTCTTGATGCTTTAACAGGACCTCCTACTGCTGCTGTAGTGTCAGCCATGAGTGTCCTACGCACTGCTGGGGTTGGGGGATGGCTTGCCTTCGTAGCCGTACAGGAAAGTGGCCACGATGACCAAAACGGCCCCCATGAAGAACACGCTGTGGACGACAGCAGACAACAACGTCAGCTCGAGAAATTGTGATTGCGAGAAAGAAAAACAAGGATTAAAAAAAGAGAGACAGAGGGAGAGGTAGTGACTGTTGCCTCTACCCAGTGGGGACGAAGTCCTCTAGCCAGAAGTACGATATAAGAGTTGACAGGATGATGGAGACCGATGTAGCAAAGCCCTTGAGGATGTTGTCTGCATACTTGATGACCGCTGCTATGACCAGACCACCCAGCGCCTGGAGAAACAACAAACACATGGACACAGATGGACGAAGGCATGACCTGTACGGGCCGACAGGGAGTCTGATCCACGAAATGAAGAGTCTGTTACCCCAGAGGCTTGATAATTTGACACAATACATGACAGTTTTGGTGGGAAAACACACATATTGAATCACAGGTAGCGGAGTGAGTCTTACCTGCAGCGCCACGACCGTCCAGGTGACTCTGTTGTATCCCTGGAACATTCCCGACTCCCTCACCCGCTCTCCGTCGTAGACCAGCATCCCAAAGAGGCCAAACACCAGGCCAAACATCCCTGGAAACACACCCAGAGGTAAATGATCTGAAGTCTGATCACAATAATGCTGAACTGTTCCAATGCAGTTAGAGAGAAACTCAGATGGCACACCGACTACAGCAGACACAAGATTTCATATAAAGTCAACGGAAGAAACAAATTCAAACTGAGGTGAAGACGTGTCCCTCCAGTAAAAATGTTGCACTTTATGAATCCAGCATTACTTCATAAAGTGCAAGACAAGAGGGAAAAAAAAAAAAAAAAAAAAGTAAATTGGTGAGTTTGAGAGTTGCTGGAAGTTGGATTTTGTTACCATTGGGCTAGGAATGTAACAATATATGTGAAGATTCAAATCAGTGAGAGGAAAAATTCATCATCCTTTCAGTCATAATTTTAGTATATTCAATAGCCAGAATTTGTCTTCAATCTCATTTTGTTAAAAAAAAAAGTGTATTATTACATCCTTACTTTGGACAGAGCTAGCTGTTTCCAGTCTTTACACTAATAAGCTAAACTAGTGCTAACCCACTCCGGGCTCCAGCTTCATATTTAGCGCACAAACATGAGAGTGGTATCAATCTTCTCATCCAATGTTCGGCAGGAAGGAAAATAAGTGTGTTCCCCAAAATATCGAACTATTCCTTTAATAACTTGCCACAGGAATTTGCATACATTTTCAGTTAATGTGTCAATTATGTTTCCACTTATTGTAATTGTTAAAAAGTGACCATTACATCTTTCAAGAGCCAACATTTATCAGATGAGCCCAAAAATATTCACTTTACAATCATATAAACAAGAGAAATGTCACTTGATTATTACAATTCTTGATTAATCTACTATTTGTTTCAGCATTCATTTCTAATTTCCTTCATTTTACATTTTCTTGGATTTCTTTTAGAACGACTAACAACAACAACAACAACAACAACAACAACAAAATAAATGAACACAGCATTTTCTTCCCTGCTCTTGCAGCAGATCTAGGCTCCGACATTTAATGCAGGTGAAAAAGCTCCAAGCTCACACCAGGAATCGCAGGAGACTCAACACATGCCTCACACGCTCCGTGGTAAAAATAAACTTGACAGGAACATTTATCTTAACAGAAACATATCGGAGGTAAAAAGCCCAGCTGGCTCTTTGCGCAGGGAAGAAAGGAAACTGTGCACACACACGCGAGCGCACACATGCATGCACGTACGCACGCACGCACGCACGCACACACACACACGCTTCAGAAACATGGATGTAGTGCCTGTTTCAATCTGTTTTCAACAACACCTCACACATTATCCCTCTGTTGATAGATGTGCATTGATAGAATTCAACTTTAATATTACTTTTCAGTGTATTGAATTGCATTGTATGTGTAAGAATAGCCGTTACACTGTTCGAGACCGACTGGAAAGTTGATTAACTCGACCGGCCGATGAATACTGACCTAGCTGGATGTTGCGGACCCAGACGCTCTGTTTGCTCTCCTTTAGGATCTTCTCAAAGTAGACACCAGCGAACCCACTGGAGCAGCACGCCACCAGAACCGCCGTCACGCCGACAAACTGGGAGCCTGCGGAGAGGGCCTCCTTCTCGGGGGCCACTGTGGAGGACTCAGAGGGCCACTGCAAACACAAGAGGAACACTCGGATTAGAATAAATACAGAGCTTGAGAGTTCATTCTTGACCTTGGAAACAGTAGTTTGACAAAAAACTACTAAAAATCTTAATTCAAGGTCCACTTTCTAGCTGTTTGCAGAGATCATTTAACTGCATGATGCGTTTTCAGATGTCAACCCATAGTGTAATGACGACTAGTTATCGACCAATATGGGATTTTCAGTGTTCAATGCCGATATATATATAATGCAGATATCAAAACCAAGAAAAGCAATGTACAGTTTTGTTCTATTTGATAGGAAATTCAGCCATATATTTACAGCAGGGGGCATCAAAGTTATAATACAGGGCTCCAAACTTTTTCTCCACCTTCCCAAAGCTCACAAGAGCACTAACATCGTTCCACAGCAGCCACACTGACAAGGCTGCCGGCAGACGTGCCGCATGAGCACACCTCATTTTTTGCACCACTACGCGTTGTTCAAATCAACTGCCACCACACATCCAATGAATCCATATGCCAATTAAAACTCTACAAGTATCTTAGTAATGTTCAACAATCACACTCAAATCTCTCTGAATCTGATGCTGGGTACCTGCAATTCACACAACGACATCTTCTCAACTTTGCCAAGTTGTAAAAAACAAACAAAAAATGCTGCAGAGTATGAGTTCCTGCGTTATGTGCTGCAGTAAGCAGGAAAATGGGTGTTAATGCACAAAAAACTAAAAAATGATGATAAGTGAGAAAAGTATTGTAGCTGCTGCACTTTTTCTTTGGACAAAAAAAAAAACACAACATATCAGAACGAATGGGACTCGTTCTTAAGTAAAGATTATTCCAATAAGTTATCAACCTTCGGAACAAGATACTGTTTGCCTTCCACCTCTACACCTTCGCCAAAACAAACCCCGCTGAGTGCGAACTAACAGCATAAACCTTGAAAACGAAGAGTGAAAATGCTGCATTAACGCAAAACAGGCCAATTATTCCTTAGCGGAGTCATGCTGGCTTTTTAGCTTGTTTGTGTGTGTTTGCAAACAGAATAGGTGCTATAGCTGTGTGTTAATATCATGATGATCTGTTATTTGAGTCTCCGGGAGGTGTTATGGATAAACCACCGGCACATTCCTGCCCGCAAACAGCCTGGGAGGAGTAAATGTTCCTACCTGTCTGATCCTGCAGATTTATGAATGTGTATCTTTACATCCATTGTGCTTCTGTCTGAGAGGCGGCATTAAGATCAAATCCAGTGTAATACTACCTGACTGGCATTTTCCTTTGTTTTGCCAAGGAGGAAAAGGAGGAGGAGGAGGAGGTGATATCACAACAGACAACACTTCATCATCATCAGCACATCCCTCATAACCACTGGCAGCCAATATTTATTCAATGTTCCAGTTGACGCCTCATTATTTTGTTTTATTTATTTAACCTTTATATAACCGAAGAACTCCCACTGAGATGAAGAGTTTCTTTACTTTATCTGACCACCAGAAGAAATTAGAGATCACACAATAGTTAAAACAAAACAAAAATAGGCACATTTCCAATACACAGCTGAGTAAATGCTTAATTGGACAAAGTGACAACCTACAGAACTGGCCACACTTTGAATTACCAAACTTTGGACTAGTACCTAGTCCAACTGTTGGCTGTGATTTCATTACATGAGCCTATTTTAGCTCCAGCATGTGATGAATTAGATCAAAGATTCCCCACAAATCTTTCCTGGTTTCCTTCCCCACACTCAGCAGTCAGAGAGAAAAGTTCCACTAGCAGACTCTGGAAACAGCTGAAAGCGCGGAGACGAATGAATTATTGGTTTACTGCCGCTCTCTGTTGTATCAGAATATACAACCACAGGATTTACTGAGCAGATCGTGTCCCTGAGACTAGTGAGAACATCCTCTATTCAAACAATTCTGCTCTGAAAAAAAAACATCTGAAAAACTAGTGGAAAGTGTTACAAAATTAAAAGAGTGACGCAGATATTGTAAAAATGTGAAGTTGTTGGAAAACAACACAGAACGCTGGACAAAAAGGTTTAAATCTGAGAATTTTTTTTTTGGTTTTTAGATGTTTATACAGGATTTTTTTTATTTTGACTGGATGTTAGAAAAACAGCCTAATTCCAGACATTTGAATAACCTCCAATATCTCCTTTTTTAAAGAAAACAGTGAGTAGAAAGGACCCCAACAATCTTTATCCTGTTTTGTTAGTAGCTATTACCAAACAATTGTCTGCTTTAACAACCTTGAACACTCTTTTTCATGAACTATTAAAAAGATGTGAGGTTATTATAAGACCTTCAACTTAGGATTATTTGGGACACCCTGTTAGTACAAAGGCAGAGTTCTTACCGCAGTGGCCCATGTTCGATTCCAACCTGCGGGCCTTTGCTGCATGTCATCACTTTCTGTCTCCCAATTTTCCTGTCTATCCTCAGCTGCTCCTATCTTCAGCTGATTCATCTGGTCTTCATGATATTAATTGTTATATCCATCAATCAATCAATCAATCAATCAATCAATCATTAATTGTCGGTTGATAAAATGTCAAATAATAATAATAATAATAATAAATGCCCACCACAACTTCCCAGAAGGTGAAGCCTCAAGTGTCTTTGCAATGTTAGTAACACGTTACCAGCATGTGCTCACATTTGAGAGGTGAGAACTAGAAAATGTTTTATAAAGAAATACGATTAATTAGCTTGAAAAATTATCAAAATGATAAATCAATTATCGATTTTTTTCTGTCAGACTAATCGATTCATTGACTAATCATTTCAACCGCAGTTATTATCATAGGTTCTTATGTTTTTAGCCCCAGCAGAGATTTGTTATCCTGCGTCTCATCCCGTCTCCAGTTAACAATAAAGAACAACACCAGAGCTGCTCATGATCCTGAAGGGAACCTGCCACACTTCATACAATCCACGAACGGAGACCTTTACTCTGATTATTCGTGAAACAAAAAAAGAGAAAACAAAAAGAAGAAAAATATCTTCTGAAGCCATAAGCTCCGGCAATGTCACCTGGGGGTCTGTTTCAAGAAGCAGGTTTACTGTTTTATCTCAGAACTTTGTTGAATAAAACCTGAGACAGGTTCAAAACCAGTTTTTATAGATATTTAAGTAAACTTGCTTTGTGCATCAGGCAGTCGGAGAGATGTAAGTTAAAGAACAGAAACCCCTGAATGAATGAATGAAAATAGTTTCTTAAAGAGGAGCAACAGAGAGCATGTTTTATATTTCTAGAGATGTTGAACAGTGTGATTTTACATTTCCACAAGCAGTAAAGACATGAAGCTGTACTGGACCTGCACGAGAGCCACTCCCGCCATCAGGATCAGCAGTGACAGCCACTGGTAGACGCCCAGCCTGCGGCCCAGCATGGACACTGAGAACAGAGCCGTGGTCAGGATCTTCAGCTGGTATGTCACCTGATGGAGACAAAGTGGGGAAAAAAATAATCCATGAACAAGAAGGTGCTGACTGCTAAATCATCAGCTCCTGTGTGAGTCACACTGAGAGTCAGGCACATCCACACAACCTGCCCTCCGCCGTACCTGGTAGGTGGCAGCATCCAGGTTGGACAAAGCGACGTACAGCAGGTTGTTCTGCAGCGTGTAGATCCCCGAGGGGATCGCCAGCTTCAGCGTTTCTATGGGTTTGTAGGCAATTTCCTGCCGCAGGATGCTGTTCAGAGCTCGCATGCTGTAGTCTTGGGAATGAAAACCAACGAGTTAGACCATGAATAGAAACCTCAACTGGATGTTACAGTGAATCTGTCAGGTGTGGTCGATAAGAAACTTTTGCTGTCTGCAGTGTCTTTACTGAGGTCTATAACTACATAGACTAACTGAAATACAAAAAAATAAACAGAACAGCTAAAACTAGAACCATAAATCATGTTTGATTGTTAAATACGCTACAGTGTAAAGCACTGTACATTAGTGTGTGTGTGTGTGTGTGTGTGTGTGTGTGTGTGTGTGTATATATATATATATATATATATATATTGGGGTGTTTCAGGAAGCCGGTTTACTGTTTTATCTCCTAACTTTGTAAAATATAACCTGAATTGTTTGTTGTTGTTACACCAGCACAGGTTCTTGAGCAGGTTTCACACTGAACTGAATAAACCTCCTATTTGCATCGGGCGGGAGGAGAGACACCCCCTGAACAAATGCTCCCAGTTTCTTAATAGTTTCAGTAAGACGGGAGGAACCTGACAAACCAGATCAGCATCAAGAGAGTGAGGGGGAGCTTCCCCAGCTACAGTATATTATATATATCATATATATATATATGATATATATAATATATATTATATATTGACAGGCAGTTATTCAATAATGAGCCTCAATACTTTGATCCTGTAATAAACACTGACACCACTTTGATTTATTCTTAATTTATGTATTTAATTTAGACAAAAGTTCCTCAGCAGCTGCTTATATTTAGAAAACACTGAAGAGAACTTATTATTATATGTTCAATGAACTATATAATCAAAACATGTCTTTATATTTAAATTCCTTTATATATGTAATTATTTTTCATACTTACTGTGGAAACAAGGTTTTGCTGCTGTTCTACATGTATAATATAATGAAATAAATCACTTTCAGGGCACTGGACTGTTGAACAACACAAGCAATAAGAAAACATCACCTGGGGCTCCACTGTGAATGTGTGATGGCAATTGTTCACCATTTTCTGACATTTTATCGAGCTCAGAATGAATCCGTGTGCACTCACTGTGCTCTTTGAGGACGAGTAGCACACAGGCGAGGATCTTCATCACCTCGGCCACCACCACAGCTGAGGAGGCCAGGTACCGCGGGCCCTCGGCCTGCAGGGTGCGGGAGTACCGCATAGTGAGCACCAGGGAGGTGGTCTGGAACACCAGCACGGCCAGGGAGAGATACTTCAGCCGGGGTGAGGAGGCCATGGTCGGTGGTAGGCTGGTAGGCTGGTAACATGGAAAATGGCGATATAAATACACATTGCAAGCAGTGTAATAGTCAGGAGGGAACCACAATGAGGAGACTTTGATAAACAAAAAGAAGGTTTTTACTCACTGTGAGAAGAGAGGAGGGCTCTCACCTGTCTGTCGCTTCAAACTCCACCACGTAGATATCCGCCTGAGGACTGCTCTGTCCTCAGCAGCTCTCTGTCATGCAGACAGACCAGGTACTGGAGGCTCAACCCAGCTGTCAAAACAGCAGCACTTCAAGTCCTAGCGTCCATTGACCCGCAGTGGAGATCTACAGTCCGCCGATAGCTGCTCATCATCTCAGCACGGTCTCCACACCGACTGCCCCATCGCTTACCGTTTCACTTACCGTCACAGGAGGGAGCAAATTATACCAGCAAAGTCTGCTGAACGAGACCAATCTCAAGCATGTAAAAAAAAAAAACTAAATTCAGGATGACTTCCGTGTACAGGTTTCTTCCTCGTGTTTGAGTCATAGCTTCCTGTGTGAATCAGCGTCTCCTGCTGGACTGGCAACGAACTGCACCACTCATTTTTGGTTTTAAGCTGGGAAATGAAGTGTGAACTGGTGATTTCAAGGTATTTCCTTTGCAGAACTAACAGTGGAATAACAAAGGGACTGTTAATAATTACATATTTATGGACAAAGGCACACCAGATTATTTTTTTTATGGTAGGTCCAGTAGAACAAAGCATCTCCGTACAAGTAACTTACTGACAACACTGAAAGATGGTGTGTTTCTGCAGGGTAGCGTTTCTATACACCACTGTAGTAATGTTTAACCCTTTTTTTCTAACCCTTTTTTTAGTAGTATCAATATATTAACATTACATTGTAGAAAGATGTGTATGACATTATTGGTGCTGAGTGGGCGAGGCTGAAAAAGCAACCCAAACACGTCAGACCTGAAAGGTGAATCATAATTAACTGTTATTTACCAGTAACCTGTACAAAGTGTACTCCGAGGATACACAGTAAAATCCACTGATGCAATCAAGTTGCTGAACTTTTTAATTATACTTTTTTTAAAATGTCTCTGAAGCACCAACGTCTGTTTGGATTCTATATTCATCTGTGTCACACTTTAATTCAATGTGAAACCATTATAAAACTATTTCAAACACTGTCTGAACCTGTTGGCAAAAAACACAAAAAAAGACATAAGTGCAAATGTCTCTGAAGATCTGGGCTTTATTTTAGTAAGCACATTTGGTTGATCATTTGGTTTTTTTTGCAACAGACAACTTATTTTATCATCTGTTTTAGTTCTATCTTATACAAACATGGTGACAACTACTTCATATGACATGTATATTATAGGCTATTTGGTTAACAGAGGAAAGTACAATAAAAAAAAACATTTTATATACAGAACATCGACACATGGCCTTGATTATGAACGGGAAGTGATATGCTCGATTCTTGATAAAAATGCTGACTGACGCCTCGATGTGCTATACTTGTGTTTTGTGAAACTGCAGGGACAGCATGAAGAACAGAGAAGATGATACAGGGTACATTGATGTAACATGAATGATTTGGTTTGTTCACACAGACACAGGCAGTAATAATTCAAACCAAAACAAAATGTCTTGGTATCCGGTGCGAGTGTGCTGTGTGTCCAACTCAACAAGAGTCTTAAATACATCACAGCATGAACTGAAACGAGGGCGACAACTGACGAAAAAAGTGGATGTGATGTAAATTTTTTGGCTGAAAATATGAATTTGGTCTTAGAGACGCTGATGTTCCTTTTTGAAGTTTGATTGTCTGTGTTTACAGAGCAGTTACACAAAGCTATGATCAACATCAACTTTAAGAGGAAGACAAAAAAAAAAAAAAATACTTTATTACACCTCACTCACCTCCAGACTTGGTTTATGAATCATGACAATTAAAAAAAAGGTGCACAGATTACACTGATTGTAGTTAAGCAAAAGGCAAAACTGGTTAAATGATTTTGGAAGAAGTAACGTTTAAAAAAAGAGGCGGTTTAAAAGGTAAAAACATGCACCTCTGTAACATTCAGAATCATTCAAGAAGTGCGAACAGAATTCATATAAAAAACAGAAAAAAGTCAACATGTCTTTGCCAAATGGAGCTCAGTAACAACAAGCATAATGTGCTGTAAGTCTATGTACATTTCAACATAAAACATACTAAACTAATGTATGTATTTGCATAAAGTTTGTCAAGCTTCTGAATGAATCCCTCAACAACACATGAATATTAATAGTGGCACCGTCTGTGGCAAGACAAGATCAAAACTGCATCTAAAACAACTGATTTAGTTTTCAAATCAACTCTTGTACCTCTGTAACAGTAACTAACCCAAACACATGGGCGATGCACTGTGCTCTCGCTGCATGATCATGTTTGATGGGAAACGCTAACATCTATAAACTGCAGTAAATACAATCAATGCAGTAAATACATTTAACCCTAACCCTGGTACAAGTGCAGAGCCATTTAGTAACAAGAGGCATTCTATATAATCTGTAATTAATCTTGATGTTTGTCTTTCTAGTCATGCAACAGCATTTTATAAAATTCCCACTTTAACGCATAAAACAAATGCATGAGTAAAAAAAACAATAAGGCAACAACTAGGTAGTTATGCTTACTTAAAGCATCAACTGAATGTGACCCATCATATTGAAAAAAAGTAGAGTGAATGTTTTTTTTCGACGAGGAGTTAGTATTGGCAGGCTTATCACATTAAACACAAAAACATAAAGACAGAAAATAGCAGAACAAAATTCTCCAAAACAGACAATATCACTGCAGAGCGTCCTCGGCTCCGTCCCAGTGTCCATGTCAACAGTCTGATGCAACACCAGCCGGCTGCCATCTGGTCGGCAGTTCCTCGATGATCCCTCAATAAACAGTTTGTGTTTGGGTGCCAAAGGCCGAAAAGAAAAGTCTCGACTCAGCCAACAGAGAGCAGAGGATTGAAGGCACTACATGGAAAACTGATTTTAGCTCGAGACAGACCCTATGCTTTTTTGGTATTGAGAACTTTTGCTTTCTAGCTGATAATACTCAATGACAGTTTTTAGAAACTATACACAGTTTTCTTAAGTGCAAAGAGGAGAAGAAAACATAAAAGGGGAGGTGATCAATTATTATAATGAAGAACAAAGAGAGTTGACAAGATAAGTGAGAAAAGCACTGTATGAGTTACTATGTGTTGTCATTTAACTACACAGAACCCCAAAGTCAGTCTGTCTATGCTTTCCTCTGGCCATCCTACGCAAACACCTGCATGTTTCCGAGCTGAGGCTGTTGAGAGGCCTGCTGCATCTGTTGCGACTGCGGCTGCAGCTGCACCTGCTCCGGAATGTGTGTGTGGTGTGAAGACGGCAGTGCATGGTGGGGGTTCCCCAGAGGGGTGGGGCTGGTGGTGACGTCTGACCAGTCCGAGTTGGAGTGTGGTGAAGAGGACGACCAAGGGTCCGGGGACTCGGGCGAAGGGGTGAGATACGGGTGCTCACTGGGTGGATGGGCAGAGTGGCCGGGGGTGGTGCCCTCTGAGCCAGCGGTGGTGTAACTGTGCTGGGAGGGCGGGGTCGGGTACTTATCCACAGGGCTCTGCATGGGTGGATAGGAGGGCAGCGGCCGAGACTGGCCCTCGATCCCCCCGTGGCCTCCGTGGCTGACGGTGTGGGGGTGCTGCAGGGTGTGGGGGAGCCCGTGCGTCATGCTCATCTGCTCAGGCATCTGGTACATCATACTTTGGGAGCAGTGGAGGTGGCCAGGACCCTGCTGGGAGTGACCCTGATTCTGGTTCTGCCCCTGGGACTGCGTGACCTGTACCTGCCCCGGCTGAGGCTGCTTCAGCATGGCCTGACCTCCTCCAGGGGCCATCATCTGGAACGTGACGATGGGCGGTAGCTGCTCTCTGCTCATGGTGACGTTCATGGGAGTCAGCATCGGGCCCTGGCTGTGGTGCTGTCCCATGCCAGGGTGAGATCCCCCCATCTGGTGCGGTACGAGGCCGAACATGTGGCTGCTGTAGCCGTGCTTGGTCATGCCCACCCAGCTCTGCTGCTGTCCCAGCATGTGGCTGACGGGGGGCAGCATAGGTCTGGAGGTCGGGCTGCTCAGGATAGGAGGGGAGTTTGCCGTGGTTGAGACGGCGCCGGACACGTCGCCGGTGTACGAGTGTGGCGATTCCAGAGAGTCAACAGGTGACATGGTGACAGAGCTCTCTGGAAGTCCTCCTGCTGCCTTTACGCCATTTGCGCTCCCTGCTCCTGTACCTCCTACACTTCCTCCTCCCACTCCAGCGCTGACACCTGGCCCATCTCCTCCAGCAGGCTTCTTTCTTCTCTTTGCCTTCATGTCTTTCAGCTCTTTAGCTCCCCCGCCAACTCCTCCCACCTTGGTTCCACCTCCACCCCTCCTGCTTTTCTTCCCCTGCGGCCCGGGGCGCATGCCGATGAAGCCTGATCCGTTGGCCCCGCACATGACGGAGGAGTTTCCTCCTCCACCCATGTGGTTAGGCCCATTGTGTGGACTGTGAACCAAATTGTACTGGTCCAGCAGGCGCACTATATCATGATGCATACGCTCTTGAGCTGTATCGCGGGGCAACCGATCCAGGTGATCTGTGATGTCACGGTTGGAGTAGTGGTCGAGGAGAACTTGAGCCGCCTCAAAGCTCCCTTCTCTGGCTGCAAGAAACAGTGGCGTCTCCTCCTGAAGGAAACACAGGAAATGATTAATATGCAACTCTGTGAACAATGGTTTGAAACAGAATAAGTGAAAACACAAGAACCAACCTTATTGTCTTGCATGTCACGGTTGGCTCCATTCTTCAAAAGGACAAGAGTTGCCTCCACATTATTAACTGCAGCTGCCCAGTGCAGAGCGGATTTGCCTAAAATGGTGGGACGGTGAGAAAAGACAAAGAAGATCTGTTAATATCCAGCCAGATTTTAAAGGACTGAAGCTGGACAGCATCTTTAAGGATTGCTAACTTCCATTGCTGGAACTAATCCAGAGGTGTGTCCTGCTCACCTTCAAACAAGATTGCTCATACTAATACAGCAGATTCAATACGGGCAATACTGTAATCCAAATAACTATGTACATGAATTGCTGTGATTCACAGGAAGAGTAAATATATGAAAAGTTTGCTTACCGTGGTCGTCTACAGCATTGATGTCAGCGTGGCAGTGGATCAGCTCTTCCACCATGCCCTCCACAGCTAGCCTGGCTGCCAGGATCAGCGGAGTAGTGCCATCATTCATGCGGGCATCCAGTTCTGTTGCACGATTACGGATCAATATCTGAAAGAAAATAAAGATACAAGACACAATGAATAAAACCTGACAGACCACAGTGATGCAGATTTCCCAAGTAATTAGAGTCATAAAACCCAGAAATTAGTTAATATTTTAGAAGTTCCCGTTCCCTCGCCTCAAAGTCAGTGGATTTTTTTTATTTATGGGTTTTTGGTCAGATGACTGAAATATCAGTAAATATGCCACTTGTAAATCTTGAGGACTTTATGTGTTTTACGTTGAAATAATGCGGCTGTGGAGATTATCTTGCTGAAGAAAACATTCAAGTATCATAAACCTTTGTTCCTCAGGAATCTATTATAGGAATCACCTTCCCCTTTGTGTATGACTTCAGTTAATTTAGTGTTAAGTAAAAACATTGTTCTGGCCGACGCGCTTTCGATCAAACAGTTGTTTCACCTGGAAGACTCCCTGGGCATCAGCCGCCACGGCGGCATGCAGTGGAGTTCTGCCCATGTTGTCGTGGGCATTAGGATCAGCTCCAGCATCCAGCAGTCTCTTAGCGGCATCTGCCCTGGCGTAGCGGGCAGCCAAGTGGAGCGCGGTTTCTCCCGTACGGTCAGTCTGAGCAATCAAAGAAGCACCCTGAGCGATCAGGTCTGAAATAACACTTGGTCCTGGTTCATCTCCTCCACTTTCTTCTTCCTCTTCTCCGTGCAAGCTGCAGTCCGGCCCTCCACCATTACGCAGTGATGCCAACATCAGTGGGGTGAAGCCATCTGAGAAAGGAGAAATTCATTATTCAAGAAATGTTCAGAAAATTCATTACAACTAGACGTTAAGAAGGGCATTTTTCTCACCAGGTCCCTTGACGTTAACGTCTAGACAGTCAGCATCCAGGTCGGCCTGTGGCGGAGTGAGGGTGATGTCAGCAGCCTTGCGATGCTGTAGGGTCCACTCCCTTCGGTCAACACCTCCATCCATAGCGATGGGCAGCAAGGGTTTGTCTTCAGTCTATAAAAAGCAACAGAACTTGAAACACAATTCACAACAAACAAAAATGTTTCCTCATGTACATTCCTCACACAACATTTAAACTAAACAATCATCTTTATTTGAAACATTCTTTTTTTCCTTTCTCGAATCACTTACTCTTGGTTTCTTGGATGGGACGTCTTCCAGCCATCTCTGACCCTGACCTCCATCAATCATGGCTCCATCCTGGGTCTTGAAATTCCTGATGCGAGTTACAAAAAAACTAAAGTTTAAGAGACAGTAATGTGTCGTTCTTCTGATATTTATTTCGGGACACGGCAAGCATGTTGTGTTCCAGCTATGCTCTGTTTCACACTCAATCAAACACCAGTATTGATCGCTGGGAGCTAGCCAGTACAACCACAGTCTTCTACTGATGCCATTGAGCTGTTCTTGCTGTTTAATGTACGGTACCTTACACAAAGGTTTCGTAACAGTAGGAGGGATACTTGCTCACTTTCTCTAACAGATCAATTGAGAAACTCTACATTTTCATTCTGGTATGATTTCTCACCAGCGTTGGGTATGATGCATTATAAAGAAACACATTACTGAAATCACATTACATTTGTCTGTAACGCAGAAATACAACACATTACTGTTTCTAAATTTAGTAATCACATTAGATTTTTAGGGGCTTTTTGCCTTTATTTGATAGCACATCTGCAGCAAAGACTTAGCCTCTGTACATGAGCTCTGCCAGGTGAGCTACCAGGGCGCCCGACAAATGACACAATTACGCTGTTACTTACATTATATATGTATATATATATATATAAGTTCTTAAATGATCTGCATAATGGGGGGATATTCATGCACAACTGCCTGATTGACTTCCTTGTTTTTGGATCACATGATTGATTTTCTTTTCTTTTGCTTTGTTTTTTTTTTGCTGTGGAGGTAAAACATTGCCAGCAGAAACATTGTAATTATTTTCCACAGGAGTACAACCCCAATGCTGATTTACCAAGTAGTGGTAATCATATATCTTGTTTTAAATACTTTTTAACACATGCTATTGGTCCACTCACTTCATGTCAAAGTCATCCTGTCCGACAGGCTCTCTCCTCTTGTCATTTTTACTGGCCGAGAAGCCATCAGGCAGCCACAGGACTCCATGTTTATGTTTCCTCTTGGCTGCGAGCATCCCCATCACCAGGATAAGCAGAATAATAACCACTGCCACTCCGACCAGGATCATCGGAATCGGAATCACAGACAGGTCTTTGGGTTCACCTAGAGAAGAGATGTCTAAATACCAATTGTTTTGTCTTGATTTAGGTTTTTACCCCAAAACAAACCAGTTAAATTAACTGCTGAATGACGGGCCTACTTACTTTTAACAGACACTAGAGGGTAAGGCAGATCAGCCTTGATGTGCGCTGCTGCGATGAAGGACGCAGCCTCTTCAGTGTTGGAGAAACAGTTGGCAGAGCTCTGGGAACATTCACGGTTGTCAATTTCCAGGTACACAACAGATCTGCGCAGACAAACGTGAAAACAGTTAACAGTTTTTGACACACAGTTCATTCAGAAATTCATTTCAAACTACTGAGTAGTAGTATATGAGAGCTCACAAGATGAGAAATGCAAGTATCCCATCAGGAACCATCCTTACCCAATAACCTCTCTCTCCAGCTCCCGCTTACTTCTGCTTCTCTGTACATGTCGCCCGTGCTCGACCTCCACCCCATGGTAAGGGTACACCATTGGCTTCTTATCATCATCCAGCTTTACCTGCAGGTTGGTGTGAAGCAGGGCTCCCAGGGAGCGCAAGAAACCCCTCAAGTCTCCAAGCAGCTCCTTAGGCTGCAGACGAACCACAATAATCAGAGTGCCATCCACCTTTTTGGCTGGGGTGTCACCAGAACAGTCCAGGCCGTCCCAGCCACAAGCCTCTGTGTAGCAGCTCTGGTCACAGAGGCCATTACCGTAGTGGTCGGCGCAGTACCTGTCATACCTGAAAATACACAGTTCAAGAAGGATGAGTGTTTTGGACTTAGGTAACTGCAACAACAATCACAAAATAAAGAGCAGTCACATACTTGCAGGAGGCTGGTGGGGTCTCCTGGCACTCAAAGCTGTCAAAGAGGCACCCAGAGTTGTCACACTCCTTATCACATTTTCCATTCTTGAAGCGATCCCAGCAGGGAACACTGGCGGTGCAGTTAACCCATGGCTGCGGCCAGTTGAGCGAGCAGTCTCCTCCATCCCACTGACACTCATGGTTGTTACACTGATCATCACACACTTTGTCCCCTGAATGCTGTTTACACTGCAGATAGGGGCAGATTGGAGGGCCTAATAGGACTTGTTTCTTCTCACAGTATTGTCCGTAGAAGTGCGTTGGACACCGGCAGCTGTACTGGTATGGGTTGGATGGGTCTTTGATGCAGGTTCCTCCGTTTTGGCAGGTCCACAGACACCTCTGTTCATTCTCACAGTGCGGCCCACTGAAACCTGGTTGGCACTGGCAGTACAGGTGGCCAACTGGGGTCTCCACACAGCGCCCACCATTCTGGCATCGCAGCTTTGCACAACTGTAGCCTTCTATTTCACCACAGTTGAACCCAGTAAAGCCCTATAAAATACAACATGTGTTATAGTAATAAAGTCAAATTAAAAGGAAGGCTTGTGTGCACATTTGAAAAGACTGTTTAGCAAAACAAACTGCTATAACTAATGTACATCTAGGTTCTCCTACAAATCTGCTACTTGTCTACTATACCTGAGCCATGGTGTGGCCTTCTGAAGCAAGCATGAGAATAAGAGAGGGAGCAAGAAGTTAGTGAAGAGATAAACAAGCAATTAGTGTGAAAAGATTGATGTCCTAGTATGAGAGCAAAGGAAAGGAAAACACTGCCACCTGTCCACTTTCATAATCTTCTAAAGTGTAGGTGCAAAAATCTAAACACAAAACAAAAAGCAAAACTATGCATATATATATATATGGGATGCCAAGTGTTATTTGAAAGATTGTTGAGCAGAGCACTGTTAAAGTATAAGGTTACACTGCTTATGGTCAGATCACTAGAGTGCATGAAAAAACGACTGTAAAGCCTGTCTGCACTGAGAAATGTATAGAAAACCGCAAGGAAGTGAGTGGAAAAAGGAGAAATCATTGAAAATCACTGAAATTATCATGATGCCAGAAAAAGGCTGACGTAAAAGAAACTTACAGGTACACAGGTGCAGGTGTAGCCATGTACAGAGCTCATGTTCATAGAGCAGACGCCACCATTGTGGCACGGCTTAGACAAACAGAGATTCACCATGGACTCACAATGACGACCTGGAGAAACAAGGTGGGGAAAAATAGAAAGTTATACAGGAAAAGACATAATAATTAATGACTGAAACAGGGTTAATGACCAAAACTGTACACAGAAACACCTTGTTGGTTTTCTAAAAAGACAATAAATATGATGCTGTTCTGTCTATTTAAGCAGCATATATGAACGTACCTGTGTATCCGAGGCGACAGCGACATTGGTAATTGTTGATCAACTGCACACAGTCGAGGCTGCCGGGGGAGTGGCAAGGCCTAGACAGGCATTCGTTGAGATCCCCCTCACAGTGTTCTCCTACAAATCCCGGAGGGCAAGAGCACGTGTAACGGCCCACACCGTCCACACACTGTCCTCCATTTAGACAACGAGGTTCCCAGTAGCCTTGCTTGGGGGCACAGTCATCCACGTTCACTTCACATTGGGGCCCTACAGAGCAGAGAACAGACAGATATCACTGTAGTCATAAATCTTTTTTAAGATAGCATTTTATGAACTCTTCCCAGGGCAATTATATGATTAAATGAAAGCCTTTTTTAAAACTTTTATACAAAACACACCATATACCCAACATTTTTTCCCCGCTGCAGGAAATACTGGGACTTTACAGAGAATGGTGCTATTTGCCCCAAACAATCCACTGTTCATAATGTTATGTAATTCATGTAATTCATCATCAATATGCAGACTTACCATGTGTTCCAGGTGGGCAGGCACAAGTGAAGCGGTTGATGAGGTTGATACATGTTCCTCCATGGAGACAGGGCTTCGAGTGGCATTCATCAACATCATACTCACAGTTCACCCCCTGGTAGCCTGGTTTACACTAGAGCAATGAAACAAGAGACAGAGGTTAACCTTAACACCTCCAAACCACGCACACCTACACCAACAACAAACACATATATACATAAACAGCTGAGAATTTACTTACTATACACTCGTATGTGCCCTGATAGTCTTTGCATGTAGCTCCATTGCGACACGGGTTTGACTTGCACTCATCGACCATCTCTTTACAGTAGCTGCCTGTGTATCCTGGCTGGCACTCACACTTGTGGGAATTACCCACATTCACGCACCGCCCGGCGTTCTTACACACACTTTCCACTTCCAGACCTACAGAAATTTGGTAAAGGAAGCCCATATAGTGAATTAAGAATGTGAACATGTGCAATTACTGCCTATTTTTACAGGAAACAAAATTATGTTTGTTTGTTTCTTATGTGTTGATTTATTCTCTAAGAGAAATTCATCATTACTGTATCTGGGACTATATTATAAACAATGTGTGAGAGAACACAACAGAAGGTAGTTCCTCACCATTAGTGGCAGCAAAGTCCTGGCATGACATGTTAGGGACGTCACAGTAAAGTCCCGTCCATCCCATTGTACAGTGGCAGGTCCACGAGGTTGCTGCTGTCTGAGAGCAGGAGCCGCCGTTGTGACAGCGCACCTGGTTGCACAGGTTCACATAGTTCTGCAGACAAAAAAAGGAAAGGAGAGAGAGTTAACGTTGGCTGTAAATGTTACACAGACAGACATAACTACACCACACCCTTCATCTTCACACCCTTCATCTTCATAATGTATTTTAAGTTGGGTGCAACTAAAGGAACCACATTTCTTATCAAGATTGTCAAACTGTCAAGCATTGTTCAGTGTGTGAGTTTTGTGTGTGTTGTACCGCATACAACACCCTTTATACTCAGACGCTGGGTACTTTATTTGATGTAAATATTAGCAAATAATAAATTACTTTTTATCTCAAATTTCTAAGAACACATCCAACCCAGCTCACATAATTTACCTGCAGACTCACTCTGTACACTTGCAGTGACACACAGACACTTTACCTGGCAGGTCTGTCCATTGTAACCAACGGGGCAGGTGCAGCGATAGGTACCCAGGCCATCTGTGCAGGTGCCTCCATTTTTACAGGGCTGAGAGTCACACTCATTCTGCTCGAACTCACAGAACTTTCCATAAAAACCAGGACGGCAACGGCAAGAGAAGTTGTTGATGTCATCAATGCAAGTCCCATTATTCAGACAGGAGCTTGGGGGAAGGAGAAACGTAGTGATTAATCTAGTCACTCTGTCTAGAGTGCTGAGACATACTTTGAATGTATAGTACAGACCAGTCTTGGATTTCACCCAAAAAATGTCTTAATTTTGAGTGTTATTTTGTTAGACATATACCTTGTTCCGTCAGGTCATTTCAGTAGAAACCATCCAGAAAGAATTCATTGCAGAAGAGCAGAACAATTTAGCATGATAATATAATGCTGGTGTTATGGCTCACCTCTCAGTACATTCGAGGATGTTGTGCTCACACAGGATTCCATCAAAGCCTGATTTGCACTCGCACACAAAGCTGTTGACGTAGTCCCGGCAGATGGCACCGTTCTTGCAGGGCTGGCTGGCGCACTCGTCTACCTCAGTCTCACAGCGCTCTCCTTCAAAACCCGGGCGGCAGACGCAGGAGAAGCTCCCAACCCTGTCCACACAAGAGCCTCCATTCAGGCATGGGTCTACAGAGGCAAGAAGAGACAGAGGGAAGAGCAGTTAGTATTATATCCACAGGGTGAAATTATATGAATAATAAATACAGACTGTGTAGCACCTTCCCTTGTTTTAACAAGTTTGTTTGTCTAACATATTTTTACATCGTGTACAGGCGTATACCCATGTGACACTTCAAGGGATTTTGTTTGCTGCTTCCTACTGGGGCCTTGGGATATCTCCAGTCTTAGATGATATGTGAAAGAATACTACATAGGCGTCATTACTAATAGCCTTCATAAACGCAGAGGTGCTGGAATCATTGGGTGTGTACAGCCTCTAATAAGGGGACTGAATTAATTGAAGTGAAACTCACTGGGTGTGCAGTCGTCAATGTCTGTCTGACAGTTGTGTCCGCTGTATCCAGATTGACATTTACATGTGTAGCTGCCCGGGCTGTTTATGCAATGACCGCCATTTTTGCATGGGTTCTCTCTGCATTCGTTCACATCCTCACTGCAGCGTGTACCTGCATAATTGTGAACAAACAAACCGATATTAGTACAGCATCAACCTAGTAGTAAGACATACTAATAGATAAGACTTTGCTTTCAGGCATCATATACTACCTTTATCTCACATCTACACAAACTCAATCAGACACACAATATCTCACAGATACACACATACCTTGCCAACCAGCGGGACATCTACAGGTGTAGGAGGTGTAGTCTGCAGATGGGCGGCACACTCCTCCCCTCTCACATGGATGAGAGGCACAGGGAACCTGTTCCACCTCGCAGTGTTTACCTATTTTTACACACATTTTGGATAATGATAAGAACAAGTGAATGATGGCCGCTACAATGACAGCTCTTGCATGCTAACAAGATGATGTTGAAATGTTGAAGTGTGATATCACTAACCTGTAAATGGCGGACTACACTGGCAGGTGTAACTGTTCACTCCATCCGTACAAATGCCTTGGTTCAGACAGGGCCCGGATGCACACTCATCTATGTTCTTCTCACAGTTCACACCTAATGAGGGAGGAGGGGTGATTCAAATATTTCTTTTTTTCAGTCACAAAATTCCGTGCTGATTCTTCTATTGATTACTAAGTAATTCTTTTTTTAAATACTATGCTGAAATATAATATTATTTTATAATATATAATATTACCTCTGAATCCAGGTTGGCACTGACAGGTGTAACCATTATGTCGGTCCAAACAGGTGCCACCATTTTGGCACGGACTGGGCTGGCACTCATCCTTTTCCTGCTCACAGTGTTGTCCCACCCAGCCAGCTTCACACTCACAACGGTACCTTTACCCAAAAACAAAGGCACATACAGGTTTAAAGTGTGGAATTAGCCACATAGCAATAATAACAGCAGGTTGTCTCCAGCATCAGTTCCAGCAGTTCAAGAATGGCTTCTTACTATGCTAAACCCTAATTACTTGGATTATTATGTTATACAAGTAGTTGCTAATACTGCAGTTTTAATGTTATGCAGAGTCAAATTTGGAAAGCAATGTAGGCTGGAAGAAATTTTCCAACTGTAGGGCCTCCACATCTAAATAGAGTAAAGCACTATTAAAATAAAACAACATGGGAAAAATGATTTGGCTGTTCACCCAACTTTTGCTTTACCGTATAGATTCCCACTAATACTACATAACTGGTGTATATTAACCCATATTCAAGAATTGGATTAGGTAAGGACAGAATATCAGAACATGAAACTTCAGTAGCAGTATAAGGTTAACATACCCGTGTTGCTGTTCAATACAATCACCGTGCACACAAGGCTGAGGAGCACAGTGGTCGGTCCCAGAGAGGCACAGAGGGCCGTGGGTGCTGGGCGGGCACAGGCAGTGGAACCCGTTGACCTTGTCCACGCAAGTTCCCCCACTCATACACGGGTTTGAGTTACACTCGTTGATCTCCACATCACATTTAACTCCTATAAGAGAGCAATTCAAAGGTAATTAGTTGTATCAAAGTCAGATCCAAATCTTATGTCATTTTATCCTGCCTCATTTCTAAAACATTTTATACTGTTATTACACTGACTTTACTCTGTTGTTGCAAAAACATACCTGTATATCCTGGCGTGCACGCACATTTGTACTCGTTAATTCCATCCTGGCACTCTCCGTACTCACAGGGGTTGCTGGCACAGTCATCTTCATTGATCTCACAGTTCACCCCTGAGCAGAAAAAATACAAAGACAAACTAATAAGAGGCAGAGTGACAATAGTCAGGTTACATGCTTTATCATGTGTATCTGACTGTATAACATTTGCTGAGAATTAAAAATAGCACACCAAAGAGATCCTGTCACTTCCCCTTTGGTAAAAGTGTGAAAAGGGTTTCAACAGAGGTGAAGCAGATCAAGTAGCTATTACAAATTGTGACAGTTAACTGATTCACCACCGGGGGGAGTAAGACTCTTTCACAGTGAAGTTTAGCAAGCAGTGAGAAATGTTAATAAAAACACAGACAGACATGTAATACAGCAGTGCCCTGCCACAACTCAAGTAAAAGTTATAAAACTAATGTAAAGGACATTTGAGGCACAACTGTGGGAGAGAGCAAGAGGGAGGAAAAAGACAAAAAGAAAGGGGGAGACTGATAAAAAGAGAAAACAAGACATGAGAGAACAAGGCACATCAGAAGAGGGGAAGTCAGGGCATGAAACCAGAAAGTGAGACGTGACAGGGGGACCTGACGCCAGTTCTGGTGAAGTGACGACAGCACAGACTTCAGTGTCAGGCCTCAGAGTGGTACAACGTACTGAACTGAGCCTGCTAATCCACATAGCAACGTAGGGTAGCACTGCTCGGCCGAGACTTGTGACTGCTACACATACACACACACATGTGCATGCACACGTACAGAGCTATACACTTTTCAATACATCGAAAGCTATACAGGAAGCTCTAGATGTGGGGGAGGGGGGTCTTTACATTCAAATCGAGCCTCCACTCTTAAATTTTTTAAGGGCCATAGGAATCAATCATGAGAAAAATCTCAGGAGCACATTACTGTGATCTGTTATTTAGAATGGCTCGGATTTAAATTCTTTCAAAATAAGATTATGTAGAGGTAATTTATACTTCAGTAAAAAAGTGTTGTGTGAAAAAGTGTCTGAGGAACTAGAACTGATTCATTTATGTTTGTAGGTCTGTCTGTATGGTTACTGTAGCAACCAGATCTAGTTCAGAGCTTTTTTTAAAAAGAAACATGTAAAAGAAAGTACTACAAAAGTACATTAACCACTTTGATGATCAAATTTTTCTTAATGAATAATGCTGCCCCCTAACAACTGCTTGTATCCCTTACGTGCAACATATCAAATTTCTTTGAAGAACAAATCAGAATGACTTGTCTCACTATAAGGCGCACCAAGTACCTACCTGTGGTTCCCTGTGGGCAGTTACACTGGTAGGCATTGACCAGGTCGATGCAGCGTCCTCGGTTCTGACAAGGGTTGCTGTGGCACTCCTGGACCTGGATATTACAGATGGACCCTGTGTATCCAGGATAGCACTCACAGGAGAAGGTGGCGATGCCATCCTTACACACACCATGGTGGCATGGCTCTGGTACGCAGTCATTGATGTTCTCCTCACAAAGTAGACCAGTGAAGCCTGCAGAAAGACACTTCTTCTTAGAAAAATAACAAAGGCTATTGCATCAAGGATCAAGTGACTATTTCAGTTTATTTTCTGGGTCAAATAAGACATGGAGTTTAATGTGATAGGGTCTACCATTTCCCGTGTTTTTGTAGCTCATAGCAGTGCAAGCCCAACAAATTAGAATAGTGGAAATATTGCTTTTACTTCAACTTAACATGTAGTTATTCCCTTTTACCTTCAGCACATTCACAATCATATCCGTTGGGACGGTCGATGCACTTGGCCCCATTTAAACACGGTGTGCTGGAACACTCATCTATGTCAATCTGGCACATTTCACCACTGAAGCCTGAAAACAGAACAACATGAGGAATATATTAAGAGAAAACATTCATTAAAACTGTTGTAAAACATGTAGGGCTTCATAAAACCATTCATTTTCATTTTGAGTGGATGGGAACATTAAATACATAAACAACATAGCTACATGTGTACCAACCTGCTGGGCACTCGCAGACAAACCGGCTGACCTGGTCCTGACATTTACCCTGGTTCAAACAGGGGGAGCTGAGACATTCATTCACCTCTATCTCACAATGAGTCCCCTCAAATCCTGCATGTGTGACAAAAAACAAAAAGGTTTAATAATTTCTTCTTTTCTCAAATGTTACTTGCAGTTTCTGAACATTTTCATTTTGTAAGCTACAAAATACGAAACTCTGACAAAAAACAGGTTAAAACGTAAGCTAACTTATAACTTCTCAATTGTACCGGGCATGCAGATGCAGGTGTAGTCCCCAATGCGATCCAGACATGTGCCATCGTTCTGGCAGGGGTTCGAAGCACACTCATTGACATCTTGTTCACAGCGGGGCCCAGAATAACCCCTGACACAGTTACAGGTGAAGGAACCATCAGTGTTTACACACTGACCACCATGCTCACACGGGTTGGTACCTAATGATGAAGAAGAAAGAAGCATTGATTGAAAGCAGAATAGATCATAAGCCGGGCAGAGATATATGTTGTGTGTTGACAACTTTGTCTCACCAATGCTGCATTCGTCTCTGTCCACGTTGCAGGTGCTGCCTATATATCCGGGTGGACAGTTACAGTAGAACATGCCACTGATGGGGTTGGTGTTACAGTGAGAGCCCTCCCTACAGGGGTTACTGATACAGGCATCATCTCTATGACAGAGCAAACCTGAAAAGAAAACATGTTGAAAAGGAATGAGTAAAAGATCCTAATGCAAAACTCCAGTTTCCTTCAGCAGGGTTATGCCCAATTTAGAGAATAACAAACTCAAATGGAGAATTGCTACTGTGGAGAGGTTTATTAAAGCAAGACTAAATCCAACTGTCACTAATCAGCAGGTTGGAAATGCAAATCTATTCTGTGGTAAAAATTAGTGTATTTGACTGACAAGTATCACATTCAGTGCCTTTTCCTCAAACCTTTGATGAATATAAATGTAAAATATAAATTAGGAAAACATCACTTGTGGTTATGACTTGTTCCACATAATAGAAACCCTTACAGTTCATGGAACTATGACATTATCTGCAGTGTGGTTTCTCACTACTGGCCTACCTGTCTTTCCGTACGGGCAGAGACAGACAAAGGATGCGACGCGGTCGATGCATGTGGAGCCGGAACTGCACGCTGCTGTAGCGCAGTCGTCGATGTTTTCAGAGCAGTCTGGTCCACTCCAGCCATTAACGCACACACAGACATAGCTGCCGATGAGGTTGCTGCAGGTACCTCCATTCTGGCAAGTGTTTGGCTGCAGGCGACACTCATTTACATCTTCTGTACAATGTTGACCTGCGGAGAGGCAGGGAGGTGGACAAGAAAGGGACAAAATGGAACAAATTAAGTAAATACTTTATGTAGCATGTTACAACACAACTAAAGGTGACATAGAAAATGTACAGCGTAAGAACATTATATATCCACAGTGGCCATTTTTATATACCCTGCTCCAGGGTCACGATGGCTTTGCTTCCCCTGGTTGGATTAGTGCTACATAAACTCAGACAGGCCCATAGAAGCTGATGTATGCATGTTTGCTTTTATAAACAGAAAGCTTACACATGCCAAACAAGTGTGTTAGAACAGACACGCCTTGTGTGAAGTACGGCCCTCCTTATGAAGGAAGGGAACATGAAAGGAAGTAAAGAAGTTATTATCACTGATCACCGAACAAACATTTAATCCACCTCACTGCTCAACCGGTACACTCAACTGCTCGACCAAAAAATAAAGACTTTAAAACAGAAAAGCCATTTCATAGTGTTATGGCTAGAATATCTATAAAGTGACACAAAAAAGGTAAAGACACAAAAAAAATCTGCTGTGGATTTCAGTTTAAAGTGTCAAAGCTGAAGGCAAAACATCCTCAACAGACAGGTTTTTTTAGACACAGCAGGCGTACAAAATACTTTTTAAGACTGGTTCTAGCATAATACCTATAAAAATATTTCCAAGGCTGCGTTCAGACTCAGGGCTTAGGCAAAAAAAACACATCAGTCAACCGGCCCCAACTTCTACCGGACCGCAGCGCAACGTCATCTGGCAAAACACTGCGGAGGCCAATCAAATAATCAAAAATCGAATTCTTGGTAGATTACTTTGAAATGTGAACAGCTTATTTCTTCTGTTTACGTTGCAATCGCTATGGGAAATATAAAAAAATTACCACAGTGAAAACTTCCTAGAGTTGTGAAATCCTGTGTCAGTGTTTTGGTGTTTGATAAGCCTTCAAACTCATGGCTCTGTTCTCTGACTGGATTTCCTGGGGCCTATTTCACATCACACAGATACCTCATAAACACCCTGGTATAGTAAATATACATTCTGTACATTACACTGCACTAAACCGGAGCAGACAAGTATAACAGTGGTCATAGAAACACATCTGTACACACAGATCCCTTACCTGTCCACTCTGGAGGGCACTGGCAGTTGTAGGTGTTGACTCCGTCCATACAGGTTCCTCCATTTTCACACTGATGACCGGGGCAGTCATCAATGTTGTTCTCACAGTTAGTCCCATTGAAACCTGGCACGGAGGAAAAGAAAGAGACATTCATTTATTGATAAATTGTTCATTGCTTTATTATGCGTCCACTGGGGAAGACAGGTACTAAAATACATAAGCTGTATATGATATTCTCTGGTGTACATAAGTATTATTTCATGTCTCAGTAGTGTATAAACAGTAAATGTGTGTGTGTGTGTTTGTTGTGTCTACTTGCTAACTGTAGCAGACTGACAGTACATTGTGTGTAATGCAACATAGCCAACAGGATCAGCCTGTTTGTACCTCAAACAACATAATGTAACAGTACAGAAAGCCTTTCTGCTTTCCCTCTCTTTCTCCCCAGGCAACAAAACTGTCCATATATATCCTGGTGCGTGGTGGCTAGTCAACTTTTTTCACTTTTTCTATTTATTATTCAGCTCAGGGGAAAAAAAGCTTTGAATCCTCCTACCTGGAAGGCAGTGGCATGAGTAGCTGGTTTCAGAGTTCTGGTGGCAGGTGCCTCCATTTAGGCAAGGTGAAGGTGAACAAGGGATGTATGAGCTTTCACAGTGTGTGCCAGTAAACCCCCGAGCACAGATACACCTGTAGCAATGACATTTCATACATTTTAGTTCATTCAGTCCTGACGAAGAACATCCAACAATTGACTGTTTTATAAACATCATGTTGAAGTAGTATTCCAAGAAGATGCTCACTTGTAGGAGCCATGTGTGTTTAAGCATTCTCCTTCATTCTGGCATAAAGAGGGTGTGGCAGCACATTCATCTGTGTCATTATGGCAGCGAGGACCTGTGTATCCAGGAGGACATGAACATGTGTAGCTACCACCAGACAGAGAGCTGCATATTCCACCGTTGGCGCAGGGACTAGATAGACAGCTGTCTTCATGCTCACACCGCGGTCCTGCAAACAAAGAGGAAGGAGAAGAGTTAGTTCTTTGGCTAACCTATGCGCCATTTATCAATGTCAATAATGGCGTATATACAGTACTAGAGGAAAAGCAATATGCAATCATGGATATGATTAATATGTTAATAATAATATTTGTGGCTATCTAAACATATCACATGTTGTTTTTAATCACCTTCTGGATTCATCAATGCATCAAAATACACATATTGATAGATCACCATGGGATACATGTGCCAGATCTTTTTATTATTAAGTGCAGTAATTTAAGGGAAAATTGGGTTAAGCATATGTTGTACTAACAATCAGTACAAAAGTTCCGCTATAACAGCCTTTACTGTTAACAAGTGTATTTGCATTCAGGGGGTTTAAAAATTATTGAATGTTCTTCTGGTGATAAACAAAAGTCCGATATCTGTGCCAAACTCCAGCGAGACGATCAAATAGTATCTCACCTGTCCATCCCCTGGCACACTCGCACTTGTACTTATCGAGGGACAGCAGAGTGCAGACACCTCTGTTGGCACAGGGGTTGTTGGGGTAACACGTGGAGTTCTGGGGAGTTTGGCAGTGCTGTCCAGTGTAGCCGAGAGGGCAGGTGCAGACGGCGCTGCCTGGTACAGGTACACCAGCTAACATGGACACAGAGCAGTTCCCTCCATTCAGGCAGTAGCCAGGTTGACACGGGTCCTTATGGTGGCAGTACTCTCCCAGAAAGCCTGGTGCACACCTGGACATACACACAAAAACATAGATATCAATGATGGTGCATGCAAAGGTACACACAAGGATTTAAACCTAATCACCCCTAAATACAGACAATAGAGCTGAAAGATTAGTTAAGCAAAAAGACAAATATATGTATGTGAGTTTGTGTATGTGTGTGTGTGTGTGTGTGTGTTTGTGTACGCTTGACTGCGAAACGAACAAACAAAACAAAAGAGTGAGTTTCAGTCAGGTGCACGAAATGCACCACATCAGACAACAGCATTGATAGCCGAGAACATCTGCACAGTAGTCCTGTAGTACACACAGACATCAAAGAAACAAATTAACCAGCACAGGTAAACACGACTGTCTAACATACAGTCTTGCCACTACTGCATGGTGATCTAAACAACTGTGTGTGGGGAACCACATCCCTAAGAAGGAGTACTAGTAAAATATGTGGTTGTGCATAAGGAGAAAATTATATTATTACTCCAACCATTAAACCATATGCTAAATGGTTAATGGGCTTTATTTAGTGCCTTTATCCCAAGAGAGATGTGAAGCTATTTACACTACAAGGTCTCATGCTTCACACACACACACACACACACACACACACACACACACACACACACACACACACACACACACACACACACACACACACACACACACACACACACACACACACACACACACACACACACACACACAGCCCCGAGTAGCTGCTTGGCAGAAGTTGGGGTATTGTATATTGTGTCTGCTGTTAAAAGACCAGAATCTACTGCAGATACAAACTGCTCTGAACCATGGGCTGTTAACCCACAAACTCTGTAAGACAAAAGAGGGAAGCTGAGCTTGGTGGAAGGGGTTAAACTGGGGTCAGTGATGGCAAAGAAGAAGTTAAAAAGGATGTGAGATGGAGTCATCTGGAAGTTGTTGACTGAAACCTGGCAGAAACTAAAAACAATGAGTGGAAAGCACCATAAGTTATTTGGGCAACAGAACAATATTCCTGCATATATTGATATTGATAAGTATCACCATAAATCTACATATATGTGTCCACAGTATATGTAAGGAATCTTTATTCACAACTGCAAGTTGTTCACAAAAATCTATATAATGTATGATTAAAAGAAAAAACTGTCTATTGTGCTCTGACCACATTTTGTCTACAAATGATGTCTGTTTTTCCTCTGCTTATTTATCACCCCTTCCTTTTGATTTCTCTTTTTCAGTAAAGTGATTCAGCCGCATGCCAAGCAGTGGGGAGGAAATAACAATATTACACAACATGTCCACCAGGGATCTCATCAGAGACAATGATCCCTTCGTCACTTTCTATTCCTCTGTTTTTGTGCAGCCCCTCCCACTTTCACACACCACTTCTCTAAGTGTGACAGTATTTGCTCAGAGATGTTTTTTTGTTACTGAGCAAAAATGGTATTAGTCAGGTAATTTCCTGTGTAAGCTATTTTGATCAGCCGTCTGTTGCTTTGTGTGTGTGTGTGTGTATGGCACATGGCAGACATGCTGTCTGGGGACTGTAGGCGACAGAGCAACCTGCTGCCTCTTACACAGGCCTCTAAACCTGCCTCCCAAGAGGGGCTCAAGTAACATAATAGGAGAGCAGAGATGCATCACACAGTCACTAACACACACATGCACAGACAAATTAATACTTTTATAACTATTCCAAATTAAAAACTTGGATGATTGTTTTTTCACAAATAAACAGATCTGTAGCATTTACATGAAAGGGAAGAATAAAAGATTGGTGCTATGAGCCATATAAAACTGAGAGGAAACAGTGGACATGGGAATTATCTGAAATTCAGTCTCACGCTTACTAACATTTATTTATTATTGGCCACTCCACCCCAAAGCAGCTTGAAGAAATTAGGTTGTGAGCGCATGGGAAAGTAGGAGAGTCATGAATCATGCCAAGCAGAAGTCTCACAGATCAATCACATCTGTGAGACTTCTGCCCGGTATGATGTGTGAGTCACACAGTGTCTGTTAGAAAAAATGACAAACAGCATCTCCCACTCTGACACACAGATCTGGTTCACAAACACATACGGTAAATGTACACAAACCAACTTAAAAACACCATAATATTGAACAATGTGTTCATGATTTGTATAGTTTTCCATTTGTTTAGATTAGTTATGACAAAAACCCCATAACTATATCCGTTATATTGTTCGAACAGGCCTGCCCCCACTGCTAAAAGTGAACTATACTGAACTATATAGTTTATCTCCCCTGAAATACATTTGTTCATACTCATGGTGCTGGTAAACAGATACACCAGATGTTAGATTAGTGATGTATGATCTTCAAAGAAGAGACAGGCTTCATGCCTTTTCACCTCAACTCTGTCAGATTAGACATGGCCACCCTCCCTCTTCCCTGTCTCCGTCTCTGTATCAGCATGTCTGCAGTGCAACCCCCTACACACTCCCAAAACACATGCCTTTACACAAACACACACACACATAAATACACAAACACAAAGATGTCCCTCCCCACTCTAAACACAAACACAGCTTGGCCATGATATCACAACAAGACGGCCGTCCTGGGAATTAGAACTGCTCTTTTTTCTCTTGGACAACCTCTCCGCCCCCTCTCAAGGAGTAATGACATGGCCCTCTGCCCTGTGACATACATCACATTAGCAGGCTGTCACACAAAGAACACCGTGTCCAGGTTAATGCTAGGTTTATGTTTCACTGGGAACATTTCACACATTTTCACTGTTAAAACTATGGGGAATATGAGAGGCATTTTCAAAGTCAAGTATAGCCACCTCGGTGAGAGAGGAAATTTAAAACTTGGCCTTTGTTGTAATGTGCAGCCTGATTAAGTTTTTTGAGCTTGGGATGAATCATTTTGAAATAATTTTGCATTTTCTATGTTAAACCTGTCTGGGAAATCCCTCAATGAGAACACGAAAGATAAGGGTATTATAATATAGAGTTGTTTTGCAACTCTACAGCACCCTTCAATAATTATTTGACATTTTTTGTGAAAATTCCCCAAGTGCTGACAGGACAGATGCATAGTAACCTCTATTAAATTAAATCGCTGCTATCTAACCAGTGTTGACAGAACCACATGCCATAGCCTCAGGAAGCGATGCCACCCTGTCCTTCAGGTTTCACTGCCAGATAGAGAGCTCATTATTAGCCTCTGGCTGTATCACTCGAGCCTGAGGCAAACCAGACAAGGCTGTGCATGATTCGCATTAATGTCAGGGAGTGGTGTCTCACTGAGGAAGAGATAACATAACACACTGACACACTAGTCTGTCGCTGAATACAATACAGGAAGCAGTGTGATTCTTCTGACAAACTTACATACACACAACAGGACACACAAAAAGGAATTTGCACGCAGATTAAATACACATGGACATCTTAAAAGGTCCAGTGAGTAGGATCCACTCCCCCGCTTCACCCTCCCCTTCAAAGCACAGAGGAGAAACTATGGTGGCCGTGAATAAACGCCCCCTATATAGAGCCTGTGTTTGGTTTGTCCCTTCTGGGCTACTGTAGAAGGATGGCGAACTCCATAGAAGGAGACCAGCGTCATCTGTTGATATAAAAGGTAACATTCTAGGTAACAACAAAAACATATTGACTCCTATATCCAGGTGATTATACACTAATGAAAACATAGTTATGCATATTATATTCTCTTTCTGCCAACAGATCCTCCTGAATGTTACACACTGGACCTTTAACACGCAGTCAGATCTACTTTCATGAACAACTCAGCAGAGAGGGTTTCTGCAGCCAAATTCATCTATGGGATTCTTTGTTTTTCTCCATGAGGACTTTTTTTCCTCCTCTTTTCTCCATCCTTCTCTTACTCTATGCAATTTCCTTTCCCTCTCTTTCTCACTCCTCCACCTCTCATTTCTAACCCACTCTCGAGGTGTCAGGTTTCCACAGCTGGTTCACATTAGCGCCCCCATCTCACACACACCCCTCCCTCTCTCTCTCTCTCTCTCTCTCTCTCTCTCTCTCTCCCCCTCTCTGCACCCCTTTTTTCCTCCGTTCTTTCCCTTGTCCTCCTCCTCTACCTCATGCTGACCTCTGCCTGTCCTGGCCGGCCGTGGGGGCTTCAATGAGCGGAGAGGGGTGGGTCGATTCTCACTCACTCATGTAATGTCTCCCACCTCCTTCATTTGTAATTCCTATGCCCCAAGTTCCCCTTCTCTTGGATTTTTCACCCATCCTGATCCCTAATTCCCTTTTTCTTTTGTGCTAATTTTCTCCACCTTCTCTCCTAAACTCCAACCCCACCACCACCTCCTCCTCCAGTCACTATTCTAGTCTCAGAGACGCTTAATAACTCCATCATGCTCTCCCCCTGCAGCCATTAGAGAAAAACAGTGTGAGAGAGAAGGAGGGAGAGTATAAACCAGCTCACATTTCAATCCCTGGATCACTCACTGGCTTGTTCGAGCATAGGTGGCCTATTCACTGTACTGTAGTCCTGTGTGTGCATGCACGGACGTCACAAGTTAAGTGCAGAACGCGTTACTGGCTATGCTGTTAGTTTGCCGGTGGAGGTAATACAGGAACTAAGGAATCCTCGGCTTACCATAGAAATTATAGCGGTGTATTAGATCATTTAAAAAGACCTGCAGTCATTCAGATGCAGTAGTTGCAACTCTATCTGATCCAGAAGTCTAGAGAAATAGTAATCTAGATCTCAAGATAGAAGTTTTAAAACGGCAGTCTGGGTCTGGGTGATACGATATACATCACAGCATGGTGAGTGTGTGCAAAATCACAGAAAATATTCAAACTGATTAACTGTGTTAGTCACCACATGATTCCAAACTCTTCATAGGTGTAAATCAAAAACCTTCTTCAGACATTGTACCACTTGGATGATTGAGAGGAACGTTCACAGTCATATCAGACCCAGCAGTGACACAAACAGGGAAGCGCTTCCTAGCTCGCAAAAGATGAATGGTGGAGCTTGATCGAGGAGTTC